TTAGAGGGCGGTGACACTGGCAGAGCCCAAGGAAGCAGAGCCAGGAGCCGCTCTCAGGCATGGCTGGAGAACCCAGACTTGAGGTTCTAGGTTAGAGTATACTTGATAAAAAAATGCAGGAAGGAGAGAAAAAAAAAAAAAAGAGGGAGGAACCTTCAGCATAAGGTTGAGGTTGAAGGGACAGAAGTAGAGGAGAAAGGACAGAAGTGTGATGATTAGTATAGTGGTTAGTATCGCTTTTTATTGATGCTTTCAGCATCATTAGGAATAATGAATTTTAGCTAAACAGTAATCGCTGTATCAGTGACTATTTTTACATGCTTTTTTATGTTTTTAAACGTGTAGTTTGATCTACAGATTTTAAAATAGAATTAATTTCATTCAACATTAGAGTGACTTTTGTTTTTACGCCATGCAGTTGATTATGGCACAATTTAAGTGCTGTAGTTTAGAAATAGATCCGAGTACAGTGATCTACTTTCTTGGGACAGGATACAGTTATAACGGTATCATAAAACTTAATGCAATCCATTTCCTGAAATGAGGAGTACACGTTCAACTTCACGTCTGGATGTTGCAAGACTGTGTTCGTTGGCTTTTGAAATATATTAGCCCCAAGAAACTAGGATCTTCCACCTAACAGCAAGACTTCTGTAATAAAGATGCACAACTGACTTGACATACTTGCAGGAAAAAAATAGTTTCTGATCAATCGATGGCTTGAATTAAAGGCCTGTGCAAGAAAGTAGGCTGTTCTTTTTCAACTTGGCACAAAATCTTAAGTTGCATTCAGCGTGCATCAGATGCCTTACTCCTCTTGTCCTCTTCCTGTGGAAACAAAGCTGAATTTTGAGCAAAACAAAAACCTCGTCTCCAGGTCTCCTCAGGTCTGCGCAAACACAAGTTCAAACAGTTGTGCAAACAGCGAGTTGCTAAGTCCTTTCGCTATGTGCTGCAATGCTTTTAAGCAACTGAACTTCTCTTGAGCCTTCCTGCCCCCTGTGCTCCTCCCTGTTTGTTATCCTCTACTTTAAGTGTATCCAAGTGCAGCAGTTTCTGTCCCCCAGCTGCCGTTCCACCTTCTTTCTCTCCCAACTGTTGATACCCTTCATCTTCCTTGCCGCTAGCTCTCGGATTCTACTTGCACCATCTGTCAATGTGTAATGGTCTTTTTTCCCCCCATTACCTCCTTGAATTCTCTGAAGAACTCCATGTACTCCCAACAACTTCAGGATTCGGATCCTTCTCCAAGGATAGGATTTATTTATGACCATTTGCACGACGTCCTTTCCTTCAGCTAGAAAATGGGAGAATAACTTTGTAGGAAAAGGAATGCTGTTAACTCAGCTTAAGTCTGGAAATACTACTCTTTTTWWWWAAAAAAAAAATTATTATATGCATTTTGACATTTGAAACATTGTAAGGAAGAAGCTAGAAAATTATATCTGCTTATGTGCTTTGAATGTTGCCTAATGAAGAAAATGATACGCTATGTCTCATTTACATAATATAATACCAATTTATATAGTATAATTGAAAGGGGAGGACAGTCTTTTAACCATATTTTTTGCCTTTTACAATTAATTGTTGGACTTCAGTTTTTCAAAAGGATTTTCAGATAAATTTGGCCAGAATTTGGACAAAGAACAGTTGTACTGTAGTGTTGTATTTTCAGGAGTAAAGGGGTGACTTGAAATATTTCTTGCAAATAAGTATTTGTGTTTGCAAGTTTTTGCAAATAAATGATTGCATTTTTTTTCAAGTAGACCAGAGGACAAACAGGTGGTAGTTCAAATCTTCATTTTTCAGATAGCTCTGCAGAGGTGGGATGGACCCCTTATCCACTTCGTTGTGGTTTTCTGTAGATAAAGGTGTCTGTTCATATGAGCTTGCGTATTTACCTACAGGATTGTGAAATTAGTGATAGTTAATTTTGTAATACGTGAATTCTGCCAATTTGATAGTTGGATGTAGCAACATTCCTGAACTTTCTGCTGTACTTTCATTTAGTTTTTTTGAACTTCCTTATTGTTCTGTTAGATAATGTATTAATTTTTTATCTGGAGGTCATTGCAACTGCGGTTTCTAGTGTGGGCGTCTTCGAAACATTGAATTTAGAATTAGCTTAAGTCATTCGCCTTTTACAGACAGAAATGTCATGAATCTCAGATGTTTAACGAAACATCATATTTGGGAATATAGAGGAAATGACTCAAAAGATATTTAGTCTAATTTACAGGTAATCCTGTTTAAAAAAAAAAAAAAAAAAAAAAAGGTCTGGCGTGGGAGGCGGTCAGAGGAATCTAGGGGAAGTTACCAGACAAGCTGTAGTGCAGTATTTAGTAAATACATTGTATACAGAGCCTTGCCTAGACTTCTGTATCTCAGACCATCAACAGACATCATTTTAGTGTTAAACTATTGTGATTATAAGGAATATTTCTGATGTCTCTGATAGTTGGTGTGGATGACTACAGCTCAGAGTCTGATGTGATTATTATACCTTCAGCCCTGGACTTTGTCTCACAAGATGAAATGTTGACGCCTTTGGGAAGACTGGACAAGTACGCTGCAAGTGAGAACATATTTAACAGGTATGGCTTTTAAATGTCTTCTCTGGAGAACAGTGTGCACACTATTCATCAGATTCAAATCTGACTCAAGTTAATTTGCATGAAATACAAATAATTTTTAAAATCACAAAATTCTTCAGTTTCTCCTCCTCCTCCTCTGTGTTGATGCACCCTCTACTTACAGAGAACAAATATTGATGTTAAAAAATGTTTGCTTACCTGTTAAGTAACTGCACTTCAGGGCTTCTAAACTTTTTCATGAGATGGACCACATCCTGTTGACCGAGGGCTAGTAGATAATTGTTAATGATCCATATGTCTGTAGGAAGTGACATTGGGAAAATATGTAATGAAAGGTCAGGAGAAAATAAGGAATGGCACTGTGGCTTACCAGAGGAACACATATGTTCTGCAGGTTCATCTTAATCTGTAGACAAGAATTTAAGTATAGCTGCTTCTGGTTTTTGAAAACAAAAGACATGCTAAGAAGAAAACTTTACCTTGTCCTGTGTTGTTGTTTTACTTCAGGTTTTCCACTTTGCATTTCTCAAGCCTCGAGTTAGTTGCACAGGTACAGTAGAACACTAGACTTGCACACAGCTATGCATACGTACTCTGCAGGGGAAAGACATTCAAAATCAACATTTATTTTGATTGTAACTGTAGATAGTTGCTAGATCACAGAGACACCTTATTGTTGAGATTTCTGGAGTTTTATTTAACTAACTTTGGCTAGAGCATGTGTTTAAGAAAGTATGCTTCCTTTTATGTTGTATCTTTACATAGAAGATAGGTCTATAATCACCCACACTGTAGATTATGTATTTTGTTTGCATGACTACAGTTCTGAATTGATTTAACCATTTGTTTAAAATAATCTTGTGGCATGTACTTAAAATACTCACTTGTGTTTCTCTGTGAGGGAAAATGCTTGGAGTAGCTAGTTCTTCCTGTGTAAATTTTTTTTTTCCTCCTTTATAGGCCCATTGTTTAACCCTAGCTCTTTTTGTAGGCCTAGGTCTGTTATTTAACACTAGATAATATAGGAAATAGTATGAGGTATTGATGATAAGACTGTGTGTAGCAGTTAAATCTGAGGGTAACTATTACAGACAGCTCGTATCATACAATTAATTCTGAGAAAGTGTCAGAAACTTTTGCTAGATGGAGTTTATCATAGATGTAAGTTCAAGAGAAACATTTCGTTTTCCAGATTAAAATGATTTTTGCCTCCAATTACATATATGTAGAATTAAGATTTTTTTAATTACAATTTAAATGATAAAACCGTATTTCCCTGATCTGCATACATATGGAAATTTCCATTTGTATATTCTTATACTCTTGAAACAATCATTGAATCTGGGTAAATTAGAGTAAGATTTTAGTATTATGATTATTACTTAAATGGATGACGCATACTACACATGTGACAGTGAATAATTACAAAGATTTTTTTAATCAATTGTCACAAAAACCCAAGCATCTATACTTATCTACAGGTTATCAGTGGCACTTACGCTGTCTGCAGCATCAGTGAGGACTGGGCCTAGACTTTGTGGGAAGGCTCTGTTTGGCTAAGGCACGTGCTGTTGTGACCGTGATACAGGCATACAGCTTCTCACGTGGTTGGAAGAAGGCGGCTGCCTTGTTTTGTGGTCTCACGTGGAAAAGAGCAGGCATCAAAAATGGAGATTTTGATCGCACCACCCGTGACAGTGAATAATTTTGAAGTGGCTATTTGATTCTCGGCTCTAGCAGTCACAAACCCACCCTGGTGTTATATGTCTGTGGAAAGAAGTCTGGATGCCTTTGGAATATAAGCTCTGTGACGGAATAAGGCTTTTTAGGAGCCGAGAGAGAATTTTTTTTTTTTTTTTGTTCCCAGGAAGTGGCGATGATGTCTCGGGGCCGCACTCTGAACCTTTATTCCCAATTCTGGTCAGCAGCGACAGGACCCTCGTTTTACTCTGTTTGTGACACCTAGGGTTTGTATCAGGAAGCCCCCTGCCATAGGAGGAGGATGCTGTTTTCATCTCTCTGTGATGCCTTGCCTATCAAGAACTTCTCTGCCTAATTAGGAAAATGCCTTTGGTGGGATGTTGGTAATCATATCAAGACCATCTTATGCTTAAGAAAATACCATCCCTCATTTCTGTATAGGTCTGATCAGATTATAGTCAACAAATTAATTCAGAATTTATCATTTTTATTATTTATTAATGTTTCCCTCTCTGCTCCTTTTCCTTCCATTTTATGCCACAAGACCAGTGTAAGTCTCTTTTCTGAGATATTCAGCGGATGTTGATGATAAGAAAAGGCCAAACTTAAGCCAAAGTGATGCAGGTGAAATTGGAATGGAGTTAATTCTGACTGTATTTCTCAAATAACTTGATTTAGCAGAAATTAGATTTTCTCCCCTTTATCTACTCCTCCTCTCCTGTTTTCCCTTCAAATTTTCCAGTCTCCCTCACTCCATGAAACAAAATCTCAAAATATACTTTTGCACCCAAAATTATGAATAATTAGTATTTGATATGTTTATATTTGTTTCATTAATTTCATAAAATTAAGTTTAATTTAGAAATGTATGTTAAAATCATATTAATACAAGATGAACTGTCAAATGTCAAATTTGGAAGTTAGATAGTTTCCCAAGCCACTAGTAGAAGCCTAATTTCAAAAAATATTTCTTATATTTATTAAAGCTCAGAAAGCATGTACATCTTCATATAACTCTTAAGACTTAGAAGGTAAAAAGATGTGCATTTTGAAATGCTGAGTTGTTTCAGAATATCTTAGATTGTTTGAGGAAGCAAGTGCCAAGCTAATAATGGTGGTGCTTCTGTAGATTTGAAAGGACTTCAAGTCTTGACTTAGAAATCAGGCATAAATGGGAAAAGGAAAAAATGAATCTTCTCTTTTTTTGTGTGTGTGTGTCTGTTAGGTGCTAAGTGCACCTTCTGCACAAATGAACACTCTGATGTTTGTATTTTAAAGTAGAAATTTATTAAAGAGTTAAGAATGGTGATTGGGAGACCTCCAGTATGCAGTATTTATGGCATTTAAAAGTCTCAGTACAGATTCCAAATAAGGTCACGGTGTAAAAAGAGTTTGAATGAGCCAAGCAAAGGTATTTATAGCTCTTCTCCAAGTATATCATTGTAAATCCCAATTATGTCCTTGTGTGCAGTCTTTGAAATGTCTGAGCTCTGCATGTGGACAGAAAGGCAGGGTGTTTATAATCTATCTCCATTTTCTCCTGCTGCTAACAGCAATGAAGTTGTGCCTTTAAGGTACCCTAACTGCAAGTCCATCAGTTTTCCAGCTTTGGATAAGATCTCTTAATGTTTGCTCATGACAACTTAAGACTTTGTTAATTATCTTTCACTTCTGCATATAATAGCTAATGTTTTTCTGATGCCTACTGCACTACAGCCTTCAACCTCTGCTCTTTATTTTGCTAATTGTCTATTCAATATACAAGTAGTTGCACACCTGCTTAGGTGACAGTTGTATTCTAAAAGTGTACATGGTAAATAAATCACTATCATGGGGAACTCACAGCTCTAGAGGTACTGATTTGAATGAAAACATGTTTGGACCTGGAAGAGTCGGATACCAGATCTTCTCCACCACCTTAAATCTGTGTCTAGACCAGAGCACTCATCCTTCAGAGCCCTGTTACAGTTACGCAAATGCTGGTAGTCACCTGGCGGTTCCTGGGCAAGCTACCCCCAGCCTGATATGCTACCATGCATTAATACTTTGCTGCAGCTTCTGCAGTGTGCTTTTTGTGGCCAGACCACTAGTGCTTGCATGAGAAGAGATGCTGGACTGCTAAACAGAGTACCAGAGAACYGTGTTTGCTCTCTGTGCTCCTGTAAGCAGAGCATGTTGAAGCAGGAACTTGCAGTGCCTAAGCTATTGGTCACTAATTGCCTAAGCTGTTGGTCACTAATTGCCTAAACACCAGCTCTTAGCCTGTGGCAAGTGCAAGGCAGGTTTGTCTCAGAGTCCTATGTTTGCACCTTGGAGGTATACAAAAACAACCTGACAGATTGTTGGCAGACCTAGATCAGAGAACACAAGTGGACTCTTTTCTCACAGCATGCCGGACAGGTGGAGTTAGAGATTGCCCTGTCATCACTATCTACTTAGTTGTGTGAGGTTTTGGTGGTGCTTTTTTATTTTATTTTAAACAAATGAGCCTAGGATGCACTGTTGCATTTTTAAGCTTTTTCACAGGAATCTGCTGAAACAGATGAACAGATGTTGGGCACACATTGATTCCTTTAAATGCCRGAGAGGAGTATCATGTGGCTGAGGTGAGAGGCATCACCTCTCTTTAGTCTAGTATTCTTGATACCAGGGCTTGATCTCATTATTTGTCATTTATAGCTCTTGTGCAATTTCTAGGGGAAAAGACAGTGGGCAGTATATTTAGCTTGAAACATGTTATTCCAGAAGTCAGTGCTGTTTCCATGCCCAATTTGCAGCAATATTCAGCTGGTGGTCATGGTTCAGTTGTACAGGGAAATGGTGAGCACTACCTCATATAGCTAGATTAACCTACCCCCTTTCCCTAGTTGAGATTGTTGTATCTGCATCAATAGTCTCAAATTTCCCACTCAGCAGGCCAGTTAACTTCTCTCTCTTTGCAAAACTGTATTTGGTATATACAAGAGATGTGCTTCCAGTCAACCTGGTGTATATGAAATACACTTCATTTCCTCTTTTCAGAGGTGTCTAGCCCCTTAAAAGAGCAAGTTTGCTCTGCCTCTAGGTTAGTGTGTGACRTCGTATGTTTCCCTAGCTGAGCTTCAAACTGAAAATCAAGTTCTCAGTCTGGAAACATTGCATTTTACCAAGCTGGAAATGAAAGACTATGAGGAAAAGGAAATTTCTTAAAGGCAAAGTTTTTTTGCAGCTTGATTTTTAGRTATATAGATACAATATATCTAGATATATTTAGAAATAATTTTGCAAGTGGTTAATGTGAAACAAATTTTTCTCAAATTGGCTGTAATTTATAAGTTTTTAATTTTGGGCACTCATGAAAACTCACTGAATTTCTGTAGCCAGTGGAACTGTAGAGTTCACAAGGGCCCCTGTATACCAGAGTTGTACCTCTGTAATGGTTTTGTGGTGGTTTTTTACCTCTCCCATTTGGCCTCAGTGTGAAAATTWGTGCATCTGCTACTGCTTATGGCCTTGCTGTTTGTCAGCAGTGAGATGTTTAGGCTGCCTCCTGACAGTATTTCCTTTGGCCAGTTCTGGAAGTACCTGGCATTGGTTCTGTGCAGCACTAGCATTTTGACAAGCTGCTTAGGGGCAGCAGAAGAGTTAGCAGCTTGTGGGGCAGCTTTCGGTGGTGCACCGAGCTCCTGCAGTGTAACCCTGAGAGCTCTTTGGACCAATGAGCGGGTGTTCAACTTGCATTGCACCCAAAGGTGAAAGATAGCGCTACAGAGAGAACCATGTGCCATTGCAAGTTGTTGTTGAGTTATTATTGTAGTCTGTGGTGTTTAAGAATTGAGTGTTTAGGGCTCTTCAGGTAACTGGGTATGTGCTTGTACCAGAAGCTGCAACAGTAACAGAACAGAAACTCAGATCTGATTGTATCTTGTCATTGACAACCCTTAAAAAAAATCTTGTGACTTATTACTACTAAGTGAAGTGATTTTGTCTTATTTCGTATTTATTTAAATTTCATTTGCTACTTTTTCAAATATGTCCCAGAAACTCACATTTGTGCATGTGTTTTGTTTATTTTCACAGTGTGTACACATTGCACTGTATAGCATTGAGTGAAGGGTACTTTTTAAGTGTTATTGGCTTGGAAATCTTCAGCTTGGGTGCTCATGCTTTAAACTTGTGAAAGTAAGCTCTTAATTCGGTTTAAAACTGCTCTGAGAGTGGTGATGTTGCCTGGCTTTGTATGCATTGAGTTAGGGGATTCAGAAGTGAGGAATCAATGTAGCCTTCCAGGGCTACATTGAAGTTAACAGTTCTCTAGGATTAAGTTGAACATCACAATTATATGTTCTAAAAATAGAAATAACCGAAGTTACTGAGTTAAAAAGGAACCTTTCTACAAGTTTACTCTCTGTTTTTAGAAACTTGTATGATTGCATGACTTTTTGGTTTAGACAGGTTTCTGGACACAAATAATGCTCTTCTAAATCTCTCTTTTTTTTTTTTTTTTTGATAAACTAGGCAAATGGTGGCTCGAAGTTTGCTGGACACTTTGAAGGAAGTCAGTGATGACGAGAGAGATTGTATTGCTGTTTTGGAGAGAATCAGCAGACTAGCTGATGATTCAGGTAGGTAGTACCAAACAAGTTACTGCATTAATCAAGGAAAGTTGGAGCTGCTGAGCTTGAATCGGTGTCTTTTACCTTCTTCCATGTGAAACATAAGATTCTTACAGATGTCAACACAATGCTGTAAAATTTCCTTTCCCTGAGTCATCCTCCAAAAGATGACGTTTTTCCTTGCTAGTTTCCTCAAACACCATTAGCACCTTTGAAATGCGGGATTAACACTTTCCATCAGTGCAGTTTTGAATTGCTTTTTATTACATACTGATGAGTAGGTGGTTGATCAGTAAATCTTAATGATTGTTCTACAATTTRTAGATAAAGATGAATTTCTAGCCTTGAAAACAGTCATGCAAAATTGTTAATTAGTTTTGTTAGCATTTGAATGCTGAAATTGTTCAAGACTGATCACTTTTGGGCAACGTTCAGCCTGGTTCCAGCTGGGGGGAGCAGTGATTTTTTTTTCACCCTCTGATGTGAAGATGGTGAAGATGTGAAGGTGGGAGGGATTCGTAGAAAAAGTACAGATATGTTTAAATAATGAGGGAGGGTTTTTTGGGGAGGTAGGTTTGTTTAATGAAAATTTTGAGACTGTTGGGTTGTTTTGGGATAGAAGGTAACATGAGAGGAATGGGAAACAAATTTTGAAAGTGAGTGCTTTTAAAAAAAATGTGGGAGATGAACGTGGAAAAAAAAATATGTGGATGGAGCTGCAATGAAATTCTGGATTGAAGAGACTCTGGAAGGAGTTGAAAGACTTCAGTTGATGTTGTTGAAGCACCAGAAGGAGGGAAAAAAGACCTAAGCAGCACAACATTAGAGAAGATCTAAACTTCATTCTCTTGTTGTTTTAGAGAATGCTATGGAGAGTAAGAGAAATTTGTACTAACTCTTGTATGATAAGAATGTTTATATCTTCTGTTGAGGTCTTCTAGTTGTTTTTTCCTTTACCCAAAGTTGCAGGCCTTAATGCAAGGATAAAGTAGTCTGTAAGAAGCTACTGACTTTATTTAAAATACACGTTTTGATTTTTGTGAGCAAATACCCTTGCTTAGCAAGGAAAAATAATGTATTTTAAACATTATATATGTTAATTTGAAGTGAAATTTTTAGTCAAAAACAGTGTTTCTGACCAAGCTCTTTTTTTAATCAGTAGATATGTATAGTGTTGGTTATTGTGATGTTTTTAACAGTGTTGGTCATTACAAAATTTCAGAGGCTTTAGTTTGAGTCCTGAAAAATAGGACAGATACGTCCAGAGGAAAATAGTCACGTGAAGTAACTTTTAGCCATAGCGTTTCATTTGTGACCAACGGAATGTGTCAAACTCAAGTTTGCTTAGATAAGAACAGGAACGAAAACCAAGAGTTGAGCTATATCCAAATCAGTTCCTTTAACAAGGGTGGAGTACGTATTTAGTCAGGGTTGATACTTTCTCAGAGTCCGTAAAAGCAGCTTTTCAGGCTTTTCCTGCATTGTAGAAGTTGTCTCAGGTCTGCCAAACTAGTAGCACTGGATTCTGTAGCTGCCCCGCAAATTAAATTTCTGCAAATTTAACTTGGAGTTTTGTGCCTTGAGCATTTGCAGCATTGGACTTACCTGTTTCTATAAGACAGGTAGTTAGAATAATTCTTTTGTCTTAAACCATATTATATTTTAATAGGGAATTAGATCTGCTTTGTATATTTCTAATGTATGTGCTTGGCTAACAGTCAAACTACACTGTAATGGCATTTTGAATTTATATTTCATTTAGGATTGCTATTGTTAACATTTGTTTTGAGTGTTCTCTTGCTCGATGCTTCTCCTCCCTCCCTTTGACAAATTGCCAAAGAATAGCTTTTGAGGCAAACATTGTGGACATTGTATTGATTTCCCTGATTTATGAAGGTTTCATTACCAAGGGGAAAAGAAAYCAAGTACTGCATATACAAAGAATATGATGTGATGTTGTAGCATCTTGCTGTGAGCTGCCAGTGTGTGGGCTGTGTGTGGACAGCTGGTTAATTGCTCTGGGACGATGTGTGAAGAAGAGCTCCGGCTACCATCCTATAATGATACGTGCAAGTTGCGTGAAGCAGGTCCCCTTCAGACAAGACCGAAGCCTTCTGGCTGCTTTCTAACGTGCTGGTGCCAGGTTACGTTGTCTCACGCAGTTTTGCAGCCTGAAGATGACTAATACAGCTCCATTTGCAAAAAAAAAAAAATGGCTTCGGACTGTGCAAAAGATGAGACACTCCCAAGACAGGGCTGCCAGTTTTGATGTGCTGAGGGAGCATGGGAATTGCCTTGCTCCAGTATCCCACCCTGCTACACTGCGCAGGAAAGAACAGCGTCCCGGAGGAAGCTCTTCCATGACAGCTGAGAAATAATCAGCCTCCCCTCACCCCTTTTCCTTCCTAAAGAAACCTCTTCTGCACATCTCAGTTCGGAGGGTTTGTGCTTTTCAGCGTTTGTCTCTGCTGCTGCAGTTGGGTGTTGCTGCTTAATCAGCAAATCTGACTTYTGTTGTGGAGTTTGTTTTCTTTTGATCCTTTTGAACTCTGGACTTCCATACTGTCTTTAACTAATGAGTTCCCTTCCATAGCTACAGCTGCCTTAAATAAGAGTTTGCATTTATTTATTTWTTTTTTAATTWGAATAATTACTTGGGGTTCTTTTGGCTTCTGCAAGGATTTAAGTATGGCGTTTCAATTRAATATTTTTATGGTGYCTTTGAATGCATAGAGCCTCAGTATGTGACAAAAGTCAATTTATTCCTCACGAATCCTTGTTACTGTTTAAAAGGTTATATTTCTAGTGAAAAAAAGATGCACATAAATATTGTTCTAAAGAGATGGGTAAAATAAGTGACTTGGGAAAACCAGTTCTTATTTAGTTGAATATAGCTAACTGTTTTTTTTCTGAATTAAAAGTAGTCTTTTTTTCTTTTTACATGTACAATGAGTGGTGAATGCAGTTCGTGAAACTAATTAAAACAAATGGAGTATTTAGCAGGTTTTGAAGCTGCATTATCAGGTCTCACAGCCTTAATTCATCAATAGTGTGTTTAATCCATGGTAGTAACACCATCACCATGTTGATATAGTGAGAGGTGCTAAGAATACTTACCCTATTATTTTCCATTTAAGAAAAACTTTAGGTTTAAGTGTTCAGTGTTTCAGGGATATTGATTCTTTTTGCCCCACCTCCTGAGACAGATATATCTGTCCGTCCCCCCCCGTCCCGTCCCCCGTCCCGTCCCCCGCCCCGATTTATGTGAGCCCAGCCTTTGTGTCCCCATGCTTCTGGTTGGCAACTAATGGTAATTTTTCCCCTAATTAGTTAGTCTGTATTTCGCTTCTTGCTCTGCCAGTCAGTATGGAAATCCATTCTGGCTGCTAAGATGGAAAAAAACTCTGATTATTGAAGGAGCATATGAAGACTGCTCTTTTTGATGGACTTTTGTATGAAAAGGGAAAGGCTCTGGTTACAGTGTATTTTTTTTTTTTCTGTTTTGCCTAGTCCTGATTTTCTTCTGTCTACAGRAGAAGTAGGAAAGTTGGAGGGACAGATATAACGGGAAATGAGAGAAACTGAAAGGGAAAAAGATGGATGTTACTAAAGAAAAAGAGAGGAAGAGAAAATTGTATTTGGAAAAGGAGATAAAATTTTAATAGTCAAATTGTGGTATTTATTTCATTTAGGCTTTATGCTTGACCATGCAAATGCCACCCATTTTTCAGATAATTATGCTATCCCAGTAGCGTAGCCATGCTGCTAACAGCCAGGGGGGTTCATATGCTGTAGAATTCCTGTTTAGGCTGAATGTTGAAGTGCACCTAACTAGTGGGGCTGGAGCATGTCAGTTGCCATGAAAGCTTCCCACGGTGCTTATTTCTCTATAGCACCTGCAGATCAATATTTTTATTTGTGCTTCACCAAAATATGGTATTTTTTTAATGATGGAAGAGTAAACATAAAGCTGTGCATTCATCTGGTTATTTCTTATTCTTAACTCCTTAGTGAGAAAAAAGTTAATATTTGGATGTAGTTATAACAGTCAGCCAAGTTACCTGTTAAAACAGAATTAACACCCCATTAGTTACTTTTCACATACATTGTTACTGTCCCGGGAACCTTACAGACTCTCACAGATACAGGGGAAATAGTGCTGCTCATATTCCAGAGTGGTCATTGGGGGATAATAAAATGCAGACTTTCCTGCAAAGCCAGTATGTAGTGTAAAATMAATTATTGTGAAATAATTCTGTAGTTGTGAGAGCCTTGCCCTGGAATAATTGCTTCACTTACRAATAACTGTTCTGGAGTCATTAGCTGGTATTATTCTGTGCAGCTCTGCAGGAAATCCTGTTCCATTTCCAGCTCACCGCGGTGCTTTCTGGTGGTTCAACATCACGAAAGTAGGGTGCAGGAGCAGCTAGATGGTCGTGTGGACATGTTTGCTTGCACTAGAGGTTGTGTCACATTTAGGAGAAAATGAAACTGCTTTGCAGGAGTGAGGAAGGAGCAGGTGATGGCTTCAGCACTTTGGGAGTCAGTGTGGGATATTGACTTAGATGATGGCTGGTGAAACAGTAGAAACTGAAAGTTGACGTTAGCAGAGCAAAGTCTGCCCGAGTTTTTGAGATGTTGGGAGGAAATGATCGGTTTCAGGTGATCTGAAGATTGAGGGAGGTAGGATCATTGCTTTCTAGAAACTCCTTTTAATACTCAGAGGAGAACTGGATGTCCATTTTATTTAATTATTTTATGAAGTTTGACTGCTGCTGTCTTTTTCTCTCCTCTCTCTCTCTCTCTCTCTCTCTTTCTTTTTTTTTTTTTTTTAAATTTTCTTTCAAAACTGTTTGTGTTTGACAAATTGTAGTCTCTTTCTAGTAGCCTGCCACTTTAAGGCACAGACTTGTACTTTCAGGAGATAGTCTGAAAAGAACATTTAAAAATACATCCTGTGCCAAAATGGAAAAGTATTGCTCCAAGCAAATGTTATAGAGAGCCTGATCATATGCAGTATTTTTTTCCAGAGAGCCTAATATAGGAACTTCTAATCATAACTTGAAATTCTCCACCCAAATTTTGTTTATATTGTGTGGAAACCTGATCCTAACTGTATTTTGCATTGCAAAAATACAGATGTGCTCCCCAGTTGGATGAGCTTGTGCTTTTAGAAACTTTGTGCAATGACTTTAGCTGATACTTCTTACAATCTGTTTCCTGTGTTGATGACCAAGCCATAAATTTGGTTATAAAGAAACGTAAAAATTTAAACTGAACTGGCATATATGTTGTCAGACACTGAAGCCTGCTGGAATCTGTATTAGAGTTGCTGAACTCCTCCAGAGGAAGCTGAGGAATGAGTAGCAGGAACGCAGGAGGGCTGTGTCATTGGGAAAGGTCTCTGGCATTTCTGCTGGGGTCTTTAGGAGACACAACGCGAAAAACCTTCTTTGCTGTAAGCCCATCTGACCATAGGATTAGGCTCTACTCTATGCACGCTCGGATGCATGCTCCATTGGAAGTATTTGGAAGATTTGAGCTCTTAATTAAATTGGAAAAACTTAAAAGTTCATTTTCTCATGTTGCAACAGTAATTTTCCAGAACAGCATAAGTCCTCTTTTTTTTTTTTTTTCCATAGTGAAATACAGTATTTCATTGCACAGCCAGCGTGTGTTTGCTTTTAATTGACCTTACCCAGGTGGCAGTTTCCATGTCCTTCAAAGCTAGGAAAGGTAGGAGCTACTGCCCCGAGTCATTTCTGGGTGTGAATTTTACGGGTGTTTAATTGCATGGGCTGCTYGTGCTTAGGAGCTCAGGAGGGAGGTGCTCGCTTACTGCGAGTGGCTCYCCTGTGTCCTTAATGCCACATGGCCACGCTTAACTGATGCATAACTGATAAATTGTTCTGAGGACAGAATTCTCTTACATTTTGGATGCTTGTTGTGGACTTACTGGAATGCCTCACAGCTAAATATATTAGTAGTTTTTTTGCGGCAAATCTAGCCAGTTTAGGAAAGSGAGTATTGTTAATTTATCAAGCATTTTACACTGGTTCATACAGGGCAAAGGAGCAGATCCTGTTTCCTACTCAACAATGCTTTACTTCTTTTGCACTACCTTGATGGTAGTATCAGGCTAAGTAGGTAAGTAGTCTCTGCTCCCTCTCTTAGCAGCACTTGCTGCTACCATCAGAGAGTTCTGCCACTTGACAGACGTGTGACTGCCCTGAGGAGCCAGTCTAAGAACCTGTTCTCCCTACTAGTCGCGCTGCTGGTGTGGGGCAGGAGCTGCGTCAGCCCCATCAGTTCTTTGATACGCTTTGCTGACTGGCTGCCCAAGCGGTTGCGTTGGCACGATGGCAAAGACAGCTGCGAGCTTGGGGTTTGGGAGCCTGGGAACTGCCRGAAGCAAGTTCAGAAACAATTTAAGAAGCGCTGCTGCCAAATGTAGCCTGGCCAGACTTCTTSCGCGCTCTTCATCACGCGTGCCCTCGCATCTCCAATCCCATCTTCTTCTCTTAGTAGATAGCAATTGTTTTGCTGCAGGAAGTGAAGCAGGGCTCCAGAGAAGTGAGAAAGAGACCCTAGGGACACAAACCTCCTGCACCCACGCACCACATGCTGGGCATGTTTGGAAATAGCAGCTTTATGGGAAAGGTTGCAGCAAATCCCTGCAGCCCTGGCATTGGGCCCTGCCTCCAGCATGTTCTGGTCCAGCAAGTTCCAGCCTTCCTGCCCTTTGGCTGTGGGTCTTATCTTGTTGTCACTTGCTGCTCAGCCTTCTCTCCTTCCTCACCCAGCCTGCTTGTTCCTGGTTATGCTCTTGCCCTTCCTAGCTGTTCTTCAGCCCCTTCTTCTCTAGCCTTCATATGTTCTGCCTTTGAGTTGGACACATTCTCTCTGTTGATTTGCCTGGGTAGTAGGAAGACAGGCTTCTCTAAGACAGAATTCCCTGTTTTACATGCTCTATATGCTTGGTTCCTTGGTGGAGCAGGAGGGGATCAACTTAGTCTGCTAGTGCTGGAATAAGCCCTCCAACATGGCTCATCTGCAGGTCATCTCAAATCCAAGAGAGTTTTTCCTGGGAGAGGGAACAGTCTCTCCACAGTGATGATGCTTTTTTGAACCCACAGTGTGCTCTGCGAGAGACTTTCAAACAGTACCTGTTGTAGCCTGCCAGGTACTGAGCTGGTGGAAACAGAGTCAGGGTCTTCCAGGTGAACCACCTTTGGGCAAGTTTTTATGGACATGGAAAAAGCACCTTCAAGATTCCAAAAAACGAACAAACAGAAATACCCTCCCTCTTCTCCCTCTTCTGTCCCATTTCAAAACCATTCTTCCAAAAGCAGGTTTACCAACTTTGGTCTAGAGCTCATCTACTTCATTTTTTTTCTCCTGTTAAGCAAACTTAGTCACATGTGTTTTAATATTTTAAATCAGATTACTGTAACTTGAGACTAATTGATGGCTTTTCATTACCTCAATTCTCTGATAGTAACTACAGATGTAAGCAGATTATGTAAGGACAAAAATATCGCACGCTGTGATCGGAAAGGAGTCTCATTGTTTTTTCATTCTCTTTTTTTGGTCTTCCCCCACTATTTCTTTCTTCTTCCTTCCACCTTTTTTTTTGTTCTCCTTCTGACAAATGGATTATGTGGTGACCTAACACTTAAAACTGATGATACTTTTAACATTGAGCAGGGATTTAGTTTAATTCACGTTTTTTCGTCTCCCCTCTCATTTTCCAAAACAGATGTGCTCATTCTGCCAGGATTAGGATTCAATCAGTGTAACCTCTTCTCAATTAAAAAAAAAAAATAGTACTTTTGAGGTGATCACCAACTTTGTGATGGAAAAGAACCCTAAAAGGTTTTCCAGAAGCTGCTTCAAGGATATGTGACTGTTTCAGTCCTACAAAAATACCAGTAGCCTTAGAAAGCAAAGGACTTCCCTGTAAGAGAGGCTGTGGTGAGGAGTTTCATCCATCCTCCTCAGAATAGGACTGGTGTTGGGCTGACCTTCTGCTTAACAGCTTTCCTGGAAGTCGGTGGGGGCTGCAGGGAGTTTCAACAAAGATTCTGACTCCCATAATTCTTAGTAGATCGATCATTTATTTATTTATTTTAATTTTTACTAAGTGTGTAGACSTCTTGTAGCAGTTCAGCAGTGCATAATGTCCTTGTACCTGGGTGTGTAGAAAGCTGATTCCCGTAAAAGTGAAACTCCACATAAAAATACCATACCATAAAAACTTCTGAACAAGGTTTGTATATCGAGGATTGTAAAAAGCTTGTTCTGACAGTTTATTTGGTAACATCTCTCTCCCTTTTTTTCTTCTTYTTTTCTTTTGCCCTGACAGAGCCAACCGTGCGGGCAGAACTGATGGAACAGGTACCTCATATTGCTATGTTTTGTCAAGAAAATAGACCTTCAATCCCATATGCTTTTTCCAAATACTTACTGCCTATTGTAGTACGGTACCTCGCAGACCAGAATAACCAGGTAAGTGTCTTTCGGAAATAGCTAGCTGAAAATACCCAGTGGGCACTTTTGAAGCTAAATAATTTAGGATCGTGCAAGTGTTTAGTATATTGGAGTAAATTAGGTTGTGAATGACTTCATGGCACTTTTAATTGAAAAATGTTGGAGTTTTTTTTGACTTATGTGTTCTATTCTGAATTATGTGTCTGATTAGGGGCACTTTTCTGATGTTGTTTTTAAATAAAAAAACCAGCTTTCTAAGCTTACATGTTTTACGTTCTTCATCAAAAGAAAATACAAAGAAAAGACTCGTTTCTTGGTATAAATTCACTTTTAAGGCTATTACCTGCCCACGTGGCCAATTATTTGTGCATCAGTCCAATAGTTCTGGTTATGAAACCTCGGTTTTGCACTAAGTTTCCTATGACTTGTCTTTCTGCATGTCTGAATTGGCTCACCTAAAGCCTTTTCTAGGTTTCCCCAAGTCATTTCAGTGAATATGGAGTAGATTAATCCTCTGTGGTAGGTTACTTAAGGGATGTGTATCTTAGGCCTCTGAATTTGAGTCACTTTTCTTCTTACCCCTTTTCAGTATTTAAGAACAGATACCAAACCCAGGCATATATTTCTAGTAGTGGTTTTGCTAATTCATTTATAATATAACCACCAGACTTCTGCTTGATGCACTGCTTACATCTTCAGTGATTCCATTCATCCCCTTAACCGCTGTTGACACTTCACAGCTCATTTGGCTTGTTTGCTTACATGTAGTGATTTCAGAGTGTCTTTCCAAAATTGCTGCATTGCAGGATACAGCCTAGTCTTATGTGGTGTTTTTTTCCTTCTGAGATGCATGACCTAGATTTGTCGATTTGTCAATGACAAGTTTGTGTAGTACAAATAAGCTGGTATTTTCAAGTTAAATAGATCACCCTCCATAACCCCGCCAACTTATGAATCAGATGCTAACTTTGGAATTTCTTCCAGATGTTAAGCAGATGCATGACCTTGCATTTTTCACTTCTAGAGATACAGATAATGAATAATACTGAGGTCTAGAAACAATCTCATTGCATAATTCTTACCTCTGCATTATTTTCTGAAGGTAGTAGTTAGACTGTACAAAATTAATTAAAAAATGGTTACATCGTTTTTGTATTTTTTGTCATGTGAGGTTGAGCAAAATTGTCTTTCGTAAGTAAAATATATTCAAAATAAATGCTGTTACTTGTCAGACTCAATTATCTCAGAAAAAGAAGGTTTGGAAAAACTCACGTTCTATAGAAATATATTATTCCCTATTTGCTGCATAGCTTTTCTTTATGTACTGCATTAGCTTTTCTGTGACTGCTTTTTCTTGGCACTCCTGTCCTGTCTTTTAGGAAATATGCAGGYGGACACTTTATAATAGCATTTCATTAATTTACAATATGCACATGTTCATTAATCTTTTTTTTTTCCAGATATGAAATGTTTGAAAAAGTAATTTAAGAACATATGTGTACTCTCTCTCAATCCCATTTGTGTAGATGTGTGGCAGTGTATAAGTAAAACTTCAAAATGCTAGGACACTTTTCTCTTCCCCTGTTCCAAGTCTCCTTAAACTCTTTAGTCAATTTTTTCTTTTTTATCGTAGGTAAGAAAAACAAGCCAAGCTGCRTTGCTAGTTCTATTGGAGCAAGAACTCATAGAGAGATACGATGTGGAGACCAAAGTATGTCCTGTTCTCATAGAACTGACAGCTCCAGACAGCAACGATGATGTGAAGACAGAAGCTGTGGCTGTAAGTAAAAGTGATCCCGAATTACACAACCTGAAGTTTGTTTGAACTTTATTAATGCTTAAGTGTCTCCAACAACCTCCTTAATGTGGTGTTAGAAAGAGAAGAGAATTTATATGGCTATCCACAAGTAACCTGAAGACTTTTCCATGCTGTTTTACAATCAGTCAAGGTTGGATTTGAATTAAATAACTTATCCAATAACTTAACTTTCCATTCCCTGAGGGATGGAAAAAAAAATCCCCTAAAACAACAAAAAAAGAAACTGTCTGGACAGGACTTCACAAGAGATGGCTGTTTTTTACTGTCAAAGTGCTGTTGTTGGCTGCCTGGCTTGTTTGTTTGTTTATTACTGGGGAATTTAAATTGAATGCATGGAAAATTTCCATCAGTGGAAGATCCTTCAAGCTTGAGCGTTCGTGGCTTGTGCTTTCTATCTTTCCCTTTATTGRCTTTTTTTCTTTAACTGAAAAATATAATAAGCAGCTTGTTTGCCTTAAATATAACTGGTAACTTAAAAGTTCTTATACACGGAATTAAAATAGTAAACAAATAAATGAGTTCACTTATAAAAGAGAAATGCCCAAGGGCTTGTGCTTCCTTATATTCCCTGGGAATTTTGCAGTTTGCCTTGATGGTTTTAGGCTGCATGAATTATGAGTAAAGGGAGGACTGGGGGACCTCACTGATATTTCACTTTTGTAACATGGCCCTGCTTATAAACAGACCGCGCTCTACTGTGCGTGGCCTCACATGGGCACAGTACTTTCTGTTAGAAGCTCACAGATGTAAAAATACCCAAGAGAATCAGAGCAGAAGCTGTTTTACTCATCCTCACTCTTTTTCAGATGTTAGAAAAAGATAATTTATTATTATAGGAGAATAAATTAGAATAGCTTTACCAGTGTGACTGTGTTGTAAAATTTGGTTTGATTACCTCCCCTTTACAAACGGCGTGAGTAAAATGATAATGAAWAAAGCACTTAGAAGTTTGCCCTATTTTTAGTATAATCCACTCTGTCAGTAATTTTGTTTTAGGGAATTGTGGATCTGTGACAARTGTAAAATAATTCTAAGCAGCACAGAAGCTGTAGAAGTAACTCARCCACTTTCATTGCTCTTAATTTTCTGTTAATTGTCAAGAAATAATTCCTTAAGTGTTAGAATGATGAGATAATGTACTCGGTTATTTCCTAGCTACCTCTTAAGTCTGTCTGGAAAATAAGAGAGAGTAATTTCTGAAAGCTCAGTTAGCTTCATTTGTTAGAATTCTGACTTATTTCACTTGATGAAAGGCTGTTCTAACAGCGGGAAGGTAAAAAGAAGTAAATACTTTATAGAACCCAATCTTTTCAAATAAAACTCTGGACTTTGGGGATGGTTTTCACGTTTTTCAATAAAATGAGTACCTGTTGGAATGTGAAGTAAATGTAAAAATCCTCTGTGAAACTGAGCTAACCTTGTGTTGCGCAAGCATTCCTAACCAGTGTCTGTCTTGCCATTAGATAATGTGCAAAATGGCCTCTATGGTGGGAAAGGATATCACGGAAAGACTTGTTCTGCCTCGGTTTTGTGAGATGTGCTGTGACTGCAGAATGTTTCATGTCCGTAAGGTATGAATTATCACTGTCTGGGTCAGATCAGCTGCGCTAGAAGTGTCATCAGCTTAAAACTTGCATATGTCTGATATGTCTTTTTTCTCTTCGCTGTCATCTGTAGCAACTATTAAGTGAAAGCTACGGGGTTTCCTTGTGGCTCACATTTCTGCAGATTGTTGCTGAGCCATAATCTGTACTCCCTGCCTTMTTTCTTTCTTTCTTTATTTATGGGAAGCTCTTTATCCCTGTGGTTGTGGAGGTAGCTGTGAAAACTGATAGAATATCAGCTCCCTGAGCTCATAGCTTTGTGTGCAGATGTAAAGATGTTCTTTAAGATGAAATAAACTATTAGGCCATCATGGAATTTAGGTGTTGTGTTTGTGGTTTCATGGTGCCGTTGCAAACCTTACTACTATTAAAATATTTGTGTTGTTTCATTTGACAGCACTTTTAATGTGCCTTATCCTCCTTGCCTTCCCCCGCCCCATTGTTGGGGTGGTTCTTTCATGGTTAAAAATGGTTGGTGAAGCATTAAAGATCAAAAAAAAATTTATTCCTTAATCAAAGAAGATTTTGGAATAAGGAAGTAGCTGATTCTGAGTTAGCCTTAGAAGTTATTTTGTTTGGCTTGAAAAGCTATTTATATTTTCCTTTGACTTTGCTTTTGTAAAACTGTCATCTTAGTGGTTTATTTCTTGCTTTCTCTCTGCAAGGTATGTGCAGCCAATTTTGGAGATATCTGCAGTGTGGTTGGGCAGCAAGCTACTGAAGAAATGCTGGTAAGCAGTTTCTTGCAGGATGCTTTTTTAATGCAAGTGAGTAATGGCATTGCACAAGGTAGAGAAAAGGGTGACTAAAATGATTAGGCAACTCTACATTCCCCTAACAAGGTGAGACAAAAATGCTGGTCGTCTTCAGTTTATTACAAGTATCTTCAATTTTGGTTAAAATGAGGCTTACAAAATCTTAAAGAAGACTAAAGTGAATGCAGAGCTCTCAGCAAGTTGCACCAACTGGAGCTAGTGGGTGCTCAATCCTGGAGCTAGGAGGGTGTTCTCCGATACGTTAAATGTTAATGCATTCCTATTGTTTATGTCCCACTTATTTATATTTTAAGCAAATCAGGTGAGGAATTTTCTGGCTGTGCTTCAGACAGGTGCACATTCCTGCCTCTATCCATAAGCCACATGAGGACAACTAATTAAAAGGGTGGCACTGCTGAATGTGTTTTCTTTGTCTTGTAAGCATTAAACTAACGTAGCTGTGACTCTGACAGGGAACTTGATGAAGGAAATGAATGTGAGAAAAGCACTTACTTTGGAACAAGTGCTACCTGCTAAGACTTGTTCACTGTGTTCCTAAACAGCTGCCGAGGTTTTTCCAGCTCTGTTCTGATAACGTGTGGGGTGTTCGGAAGGCCTGTGCCGAGTGCTTCATGGCAGTGTCTTGTGCAACGTCGCAGGAAGTCCGGCGCACAAAATTGTCAACGCTTTTTATTAACTTAATTAGTGATCCTTCACGATGGGTAAGAGTTGCTTTCTGTTTCTTAAATAGCTCTTGTGGTGTGAGGCTATTACTGTGGTGCTACGTTTGGAACTCTTTTCCCGTGGKTATGGAGAACATGTTTTGTGGACCTGATTCTTGTCAGAATGATTGATTTGTCGATGTGCATAGGGTTTCTTTACATTGTTGYACATGAAAACAAAACAAATACCTGTATCACCGGGAAAACTTTYCTTAGCTTAAAACCGCCTGTTACTTAACATTACTAAAAGTCATCAAAACAAGTGAAAATTAGATGTGATTTATTCATACTTGTTTAGACACTCTTCCACCTCCTTTGCTTGTCTTGAAAAATCTGTCTTTTAAACACTATATATATTAGCAAGCCTCCTGCTTCCCAGAACCAAAAGACAGTTGCACAAGAGTATTTGAGCTCTCGGGTGCTGCAAAGTCATACAAGCCAGGATCAAGCAGAATTAATCAGAAGTAAAAATGATTTCTTTGGTTGCAGCCTGTGATTTATGTTGTAGTTTACATGTGTTTAAGTAGTTTGTGTGGCTGGCTGTTTCCAGAGACGTCTCTGTTCTTGTTTTCTTTGGTAGACTTGTGACCCTTYTGTATTCTAATAGCAGTTATTCGTGTCCAGTAACAGTTATTCGTGTCCATTAGGGCACARCATTACTTCCATAGAATCATAGAATGTTTAAGGTTGGAAGGGACCTCAGAGGTCATCGAGTCCAACCTCCTGCTCACGCAGGGTCACCCAGAGCAGCACGGGGCACAGGGTGGCATCCAGGCGGGTTTGGAAGATCTCCAGAGAAGGAGACTCCACAACCTCYCTGGGCAGCCTGTGCCAGGGCTCTGTCACCCTCACTGTTAAGAAATGTTTCCTTAAGTTCCTGTAGAACTTTTGGTGCCTCAGCTTGTGGCCGTTTCCTCTAGTCCTGCCGCTGGCCACCACTGAAAAGAGGCCGCCCCCTCCTCCTCACTGCCTCCCTTGAGGTATTTATAGGCACTGAATTTTAGGCATTTTTATGATTTGTTTTTAATGGGACCCCTTCTGCCAGGTTCGTCAAGCTGCCTTTCAGTCTCTGGGACCTTTCATATCAACTTTTGCTAACCCATCCAGCAGTGGCCAGTATTTTAAAGAAGAAGATGGTAAAAACCCAGAGGATCTTGGTTCTGCACAGGAAAATGGGTAAGAAATTTGCTAATTTTGCAGGTTTTTTTTCCCCCTGTATGAACTGCAAGTTAAACAAGTCAGTTTTCCTCTATAAAATGATTATCTTGGTAAGTTTAAAAAAAAAAAAAAAAAAAAAAAGACAGGAACTTTTTCTTACTAAAAGGACTACTAGAAGTAGACTAGAAAGTCCTTCTACTACTAAAAGGACTACTAGTGACCTGCTGAAAATCCAGGGCTGTTCAGTAACTTGGGATACCTCCTTTACTCTGCTGTGAGCAAGTCTTGTTCAATAAAGAGCTCATAGCCTGAGTATGAACTTTCACAAACATCTATGTTTGACTTGTATATACATATTTTGTATGCGTGTCTTCTGACTGGTGTGTTTGCTCTCACGTCCAACAGTGAACAGATCAGGCCTGCAGAAGAAGTCACAACAGAGGATGAGCACAATAGGACAGAGGATCTGTCTTCRTGTGTCAGTAATGAATTTGCACCAGAACTTGACACCAACGCTGTGGAAGATCAAAATGCAGTGACACAAAGTTCCCAGAGGGAAGCGGATTTCCAGACTGCGTCACCCTTTCATTGCACTTCAGAGCCTTGTGGCACAGCGGCTGACGAGAGCGAGCGAGGGCCTCGCCACTGCACAGCCGGACTGCGGAAGGCGGGTGTGAGTTCCCAAGAAACCCCTCTCTTAGAGCAGGAATTATATAACTCTTTCCATTTCTGGAGGACTCCACTTCCTGAAATAGATATTGACTTGGAGCTTCTGCAGCCTTCTGAGATAATGCTCAATAGAGAAATTCAGGAACTCACTATGCCAGTGTCCTCAAACATTCCCATGGCAACAAGGAAAGAATTGGAGGAAATGATAGAAAACTTGGAGCCTCATATAGATGATCCAGATGTTAAAGGTATAGTAAAGATTCTGAAGCATTTTTAATGTTTGGAGATTCGTGTATGCTACTGTGGCAGTTTGGGCTTTAACTTTTGACTTTCGTAACAGYAGTCAATCAATGGCAGTTTCTTTCTCCTGAAAGAGATCCCCAGAGAGGTTGTATCTGCTTTGATTTGACTGGGGAAAAGTGATGATCAAGCAAAAGGGAACTTGTGTTTTGGCAAAGCTGTTTAAAAGTAGTGTCATTCTTTCCATAAGGAATCATACTGGGTGCACATACAATTTGTGCAGATTTTAGCGTGTCAACTTCTGACTGCCTATGTTGATGCTCTAATCATATATGTGGCTCAAAGGTGTAAGCTTTGAATTCAGTTTTTTTGCTGAGAAATGATTCAAACTGAGCTCCTGAAGTGAGTGCAGATGTTAAAGCCCCTTGAGGTGTGGAGAAGGGCCTCKCTAGAGTAGCTGATGGAGGAGTATGTCAGAGACACGTCCTGGGCTGTTTCATACTTAACCCGTGACGCGATGTTTCTCTTGGCGCTCGTGCTGAGTAGGTCCTTAGGCACCTCGAGCTCAAGGGTGACAGACAAGAAGTCAGAGTTACTGCTGAGGAAAAGAACGGTGTTTTTCAGGAGCTGGAGAATCGACAACGGAAAGCAAACTTCTGTAACAGAAAATAGCAAGAAGGAAAAATGRGAGTAAAGTGTTGCAAACAGGCATTTTGGGATAAAATGATACTACTTTGAACTTTTCTTTACTCTGTTAGCTGGGAGATATGCTAAAAGCATCATAAATCTATATCGAGATGCCTCTGGTTAATGCCTTATGAAGTTGCCAGGTGAAACTCTTACTTATGTCTCAGGAGTGCTGTGTGAGCACTCTTCCTCCCAGAGGAGAGATGAGAAAAATGCTTGTGATCCCACTATTCAAATGCACAGTTTCTGAAACCCGCTGTGAAAACCCTCATTGCTGTTCAGGTTTGTCTATAAAACCTTGTTCTGTCCATATCTTTAACACTTTGGAGGGATATCTTTTGTGTGGGGGGCGGGGAGCGGAACGGGGAGGTTGGGGAAGGAATTTGTGGAGGTTAGTTTTTGTACATCCAGACCTGTTTCGTGTGGTTGTTTTGGTTTTGCGTGTGTTTTGTTCCAGAGTGGTTATTTTACTGCTCTTTCAGTGAATGTAAAGAGGTTCTCTGGGCAGTTGCGTGCATTTCAGTTCAAGAAAACTGCCCCTGTCTTGTCAATACCACAAATTYTAAGTACCTACAAGAAGCTAGGAAAGGTTTGAAAGGTTTGCTAGTGTCATTTCATTTGTTTTGGGAAGGGAGGGGAGTGGATCCTTAATTACTCAATCACCTCTTATTTTCCCTTAAAGACCTTTGCTTTGGCTAAGCCTGCGTACTGAATGAAGCCCTATGAAACACACTCCATGACCCAGTACTCACTGYCTATTTGCTTCATGTTAGATTTTTTTTTTCTCCTTGGCTCTGCTTTGTTCAGACAGTGTTGTTCAGACAAGCTTAATTCTTGCCTCTCTTAATGTCACAGAATTTGATTTTGCAACTTCAGCATCTTCATCGTAATATGTTTTATTTTAGAAAGTATTTTTTGAAAGACAAAACTGGTACTGTGTTGTGAGCAACCCTAGTGGTCTGCCTTTTTGGCAGAGCTTTGGGGAAGGGTAAGGCTGGGTTTTGATGGCAGCACTTGGGATGAGCTGGCAGTGGTAGTAAGCTGTTGTCTTTTGTGGCATGGTCAGCAGAGGTTGGTGGTTGTCCTCTTGCCAGCTGCTGTCCCAGCCATTCCCTGGAAGAACTGGGGAATATTTGGAGCTGGGGTTCAGCTGGTAGCATGTGGCAATAACTGTATCTGTGCACTCTTACCTCCTATTCATAGGTATTTCCAGTCCTGGTGACTTTTCTTGCTTTAATTTCCCTTCCTGTCTGGCTTCTGCTGTTCTTGTTCAAAAGTTTCTGATCGCGCCCTTTTGCGTTGTGCTGAGTTGCTTCATTCCTCACTTTCTTGCATTTGTTGTGGTAGATTTAGTAAGAACTGGTAGCTAGTGGATATGACTGTGTGCAAGATGCAGATGCATAGAGAAAGATACAGATAGGTACAGATAGACAACCAAGCAGAGGCCTAGGAAGATATTTGGGGGATACCTCAGCAAGCCCTGGCAAAGGGAAGGAGCAGGGAATCATTTCTGGCCTGCGCAACCCAGAGTGCGGTCTGTTCAGCRCATACTTGAGTCTTCCAGGTGCCTTTTCCTGAGAACCAGAATGTTCCAGAGATAGTGTGTTTTAAAATTAAAAACTCCAAAATGTTATTTTAGGGTGCAAGTACTGTAGGCAACGAAAGAAATAATTCCTTGCTGAAGAATACTTTCCACCTAAAGCAGAAGTCAAAGGAAATACGGAGCTAATGTGGCTTAATCTAGCAAATATTGACCTTATACAGAACGCATGCATCACACTGATTTCATGMACCTTTAAAGTCAAGCTTTTACTAAAGTTAGTTGTAGAAGCTAGTTAGCCAGCAAATGCCTTTCTAGTCTTCCTCCCGAAAGCCTTGCTTCCCCAGAGCTCAAAGACATCTCAATATATCGTGAGTGAAAGGAGAGTCTTGCCCTTTTGCTTTGAAGTGCTTYTGAAAGCCTGGCCTGTTCTAAGGTTATAGGGAGGATCTCTGGAAGATGAGGAGGAGCAGCAGCTTTGATGTGCACACACACACACACATAATGACTGTATTTGGCATTTGACTGGGACTTGAAGGTATCTAAAGACATTCATTTTTTGGAGAATGGCTACGATTGACTAATCCTTAGTGACAGAAGCCATGGAGCAGCAACTGAAGTCAGAAGGCACTTGCCAGGAAATGATATCATGAGGGTGCAGGGGAGAGCTCTCCTGTTCTCCATCCCCATGCCTTGAAGTTGTAGAGATGCCAAGAAGCAGAGGAGATGCATGTTTGGGTCACAGCTCCTTGAGGGCAGACCTRCGAAACTGGGCTCCATGCGACCTCCATCCTATTAAGATGGAAAAGCCTGGAAGTGGCCTGTTTAAGGGGTCTGTACTAAAAGTAGGAAATGCCTGGGGCAAAGCATGTTGAGAATTCCCATGTAGTACAGTAGATACCTTCAGTACTGCTGTTAGATATTGGAGTTTTGTAGGGATTTTTCAGAAAACATCTATTCAGTGGTGAAGCAATATGCATTTTKTAGCCAGGGTAAGGCTTGTTCCTGACTTTTAATTGAAACTGAAAGGAGGGTGTTTTCATGAAGCTGTCCTTCATGAAATATCTCCCTGATGCGCAGGAGGATATAATTCAGTTTAAACTTTGTTTTGCTTCCCTAAAAGATAAACTAGAAATCTGGGTTAGTGTCATGCCCTAGTAGGTGATCTGAAATGGTTGACCGTTTTGCATGTTAGCTAACCTCTTATGCTTGAAATTCCAAGTTTCTTCTTCTTAGTCAAGTAAAACTCGAAGATTGAAGTCAGAGCAAGCTKTGGTTAATCTCTCAAACCGTACTAAAATTTTACGAATTTTTAAAATTTAAAATTTTACAAACTCTGAAATGACTAACATTTTATTCACTATTGTAATGCAATTTATGGATGTAAATTTGAACCAGATTATATTTTCTAATACAATGATTCATCATATGGCAGAAGAATATTATGACAATTTAAAAATCATTAACATACAGTAGGTCTTTCCTGTTGAAATGAATTAAAATAATTTTACAGCAGGAGAATCTTTCATGTATTTTATTAGAAACTTGACACAGCTATGAAGCCAGCCTTGCGTGTTGAAAATGTTCAGTTTTACTTCTGTTGATCAGACTGCACCCAGAGATCAGTTAACCTGCAGGGTATTTTCTGAGCTAGCTAAGGTTGTGCTGAGCTACAAATTTGTTTCTTGAAGCTGGATATATTGCATGTCTGTTTCTGCTGTCTACCCGTGGGTCTAACTCTTCTAATACTTGTTAGTGACTCCATTAAAAGGACTAGAGGATAACATTTCTATTCTATAACTAAGTGTGGCAAARTGAGATTAAAGATGCAGATGCATTGTTTGCCATTTGATTTCACAGTTCCCATTTGAGAAACCTAGTAAAAGCCATTTGTCTCTGGGGAGCAGAGCTTCTGGATGGCTGAAGTAAATTGTATGAGTCGGCAAATTGCTGCTTCTTGCCTTCTTGGGAAGAAGTGCAGAAGGAATAAATCATTCTGCACTGAATTCAGTCTGTGCTGCTTGCAGATAAGATTGCCTGATACCTGATCTGCCTCGGTCAGATGGTGCCCAAGGTAAATTGCTCCGCACAGCTCCTTTTAATTAGCAGGAAGCAGAGCGGTCTCAACTGTTGGACTGTTTTCAAGAGAGTGGATGGCAGAGCAGCACGTGAAGAGCTAGTTCTTTCTTCAGATGGTTCTTCTTTACTGGTAAGAAGAGATGTAGTGCAGGCTTCATTATTCATGAGGGGAGAATGCAAGTATAAAGTATCCCGCATATAGGTCTAGGACCTTCCTACATAAATCTTGCTTTAAAGTTCCTGTGAAATGTTTTAATGACCATAAAGAGAGATGGATACATAGATGCAGCTACTGAAATTTCCAGATGCTTTCCCTATGAATAAAGCTCTCCTCAACCTTTACTTGAATTACTTGCTCCTTTGCTTTCTTCCCCTGCTTCTACAGAAGACCCTGGCAGTAAGTTAGTGTTCACATGTTCCATTCCACAGATGTTTGCAGCAGTGCTCTAACTTCTGGCTTTCCAGCTTTAAAGACAGCGTTTCACTGACCTGTGGTGGTGTAGCATACCTAAGAAAAAAGGTGAACCATGAGCCTTTCTGTCTTCTGTGTGAGTTGACCCTGTTGTGGGATTTGCTAAGAAATAGTACCACTAAATTTGCTGCCACTTAATTCTTCAGCTGATTAGTGAACTTCTGAAAGTTAATATTTARCCTGGCAAAAAGTTCAGCCTCTTGTATTTTTCTCTTTTACATGCAGCACAAGTGGAGGTGTTGTCTGCTGCACTCCGAGCATCCAGTTTGGATCCTCAAGAAGAGACAACAGTTGGCACTGGCAAGGGAACAGACTCACAGAGTGACCTAAGTATCAAAGACCAACAGAATTTTAAGCCTATCCTGGGTGATATTGTGCCTTTAATTGGTGACACAGTTGAGGTAAGAAGAAAGCTTTGTGCTGGATATATATATATATATTTTTATGCAGACTTTCAGGACTCCAGGAATAGAGGGATAGTCTGTGACCCTGCAATAACTGCAGCCAGGAGCTTCCCATTCACCGCTCGCGTGATATGGGGTTTAGTTGGCTAGCAGTACATGTGGACTGCTGAAGTACAGTGAGCTGTGTTGGGTGGTTTTGATTTTGCCAGTCCAGGTAAATTCTTGAAATTGTTTCTATTGCAACCCCCGTTGTGACTATCACATTTTAAGACATTTGAATGCAACCACAGTTTACTACTGTGAAATAGCAGTGCTTTAAAACAGAGCCTTATTGATAACTAGCACACTAATCCCTCCCTCCTCAACACCCCCTCCTCCCCTACACGCTTTTTTTTTTTTCCTTTTTTTTCCTTCCTCCTCTGGAGAATGAGGTACTTTGTTCCCACTATAAGGGTTTTACAGTAGCTTACTGGCCTGCCTGGGAGGATTTTAGGACCTGTGACCTAGGATGCTGTGCAGACTGTGGAAAGGGAAGGTGAGTTCTTACACTCAGTAAGATTTTTAAAGATTGTTGCACCTATTCGTTCAGTTTCTCTCTATTTCCCCTGCCACATTTCCTCTGGCATTTGATAGTCTTATTTTCTGTTCCTGACTATTAGGTGAGAAAAGCTATTCACTGCATATCATGCCCCAAGCTTTTGTGGTATTAGAAGCTGTAAAAGCTTTTAAGCAGAAGGCAGTGATTCCCAAGTTTATAAGCTGTAAAGCCATAGCAAGTAGTATGTTGAGCCATGTTGCCTATATAGAGAGAAGGGAGAGTGAGAGACAGTATTTTGAGATGAAAGCTTGGTACGGGTAAATGTTTTGGGGAAGTCTGAAGAGCCTGTGGATGCTTTTGTTTGGGTCTCTTAGAATGAAAAAATGAGTGAGGATCAGTCATTTTTAATGCTTCACCAAAGCTGTTCAACCACCTTATAGCCCCAGAGCGCTAGTTGGAGGTGAGATGTGACCTTYGCATGGCTGCTGCTGTTTATACACTAGCATAATTTAGCATTGCAGGCTGCTTCTCTCTCCCCATCGCCGCCAAAATCCCTACAACACCAAGATTGAGTCCCTGTTAGGTTTCTTTAAAGCAGCATTAGCTGGTGCTTCTTGCCAGATAGTGTGAATCCTCTGCCCTCCTAATCTTGGGGGTTGAGTGGGGTGGTGTTTCTTTGGAGAGGTCTGTTCCTGCATTTTATTTCTTTGCAGAGTAGACAGAAAGCTAAAGATCCTTGATTTACATTCTTTCCTGATACGTGTAGAAATGTGTGTGTAGAAATGTGTGTGTAGAAAAGTGTGTTTCTTTAAAGAAATGTGTGACATTTCTTTAAAGAAGAAATGCCCTTAACAGACACTGAACTGGCGGATTATTACTGGCACTGAATCAAGTCCTCATTTTCCAAGTGAAAGGATGTCATGGAGGTGACCTAGAATTTGGAAGCCAAGCTGTGTGATCTGTTCAGCAAGGAGATTGCTRCCTCTCGCAGAAAAGACTGCTGTGATTTTTCACAGGTGGTTTTTTAATTCTCAATGTAGCAAAAAGTTGATACGGATACTGAATGCTTTAAAAAAAATCAAGGCTTTGAGTGTTTTAGGTTTGCAAGAAGCACCCAATTCTGCAYAGATATCACAAAGCAAAATCAACTTCTGCTTGTTCTTCTGCAGCTGTATTGGCTGCTGAAGGAGTTAATGCTGCCTGTTAAAGAGCATCGTCTGTGTTAATGAAAGCACCTGATGGAATAAAATGAACAGAGATAATTCTGCTACACAGGTGAAGGAGGGTTTGTTTGAGGATTTGGATTTCTTTCTTTCTTTTTTCCCCAAGAACCACCTGCCCTTATTTTTTGTTAGGTTACTTGCTTTTACATGGCATTCTGTGAAGAGTTGGGGATAATTCAGAGTTTGGTTTTTGTTTTGTTGTTGCTGGAAATGGAGGGAGAAGAGAAGGAAAAGAAAGAAAAGACCCTGGACTAAACCCAGCTGATCTGGCTGAAGTTCAGTGCCTGTCTCTGAAYATGAGAGTGGGAGGCAGCAGGAGCCCATACTGTGCATGTGCCCTGGAACTGGTCTCTGCTCACCTGCCTTGTGGCCTCCTCCCCTGCTTGCCAAGAGGCCCCAGTGGTGCTCATCCCGGTGCCCTCGGGCTGCAGGGCACAGAGCTCTCATACATCAGGGCTAGAGGAAACCTTGTGGAAGATGCTAATAGGCCATGGCACAGATTTGGCACCTCAAAAGTGTTTCCTCACCAGTACACACACAAATTCCAGCACAAATGTTTTCTGCTGAGTTTTGGTGTCCTGGCTCTCTGTAATGGCCCAGTTTGATGTGTGCATGTTCCATGGAAGAGTAGCAAAGTAAAAAAAGCAAGGCCAAATCCTGCAGACATGTTGGCAGAGCCTTGGAGGTTTTCCAGGTGAAGCCGTGTGCTGCTGGGCACGTTCAGTTTGACTCGTGGGAGTGTCTGCTGCCTCTGCCTGGCCTCGGAGCCCCCCTTGCTGTTCTTGGTGAAGCAGGCAGGGCCTGTGCATTGGCACACGTGACTGTAGCTCAGCAGCTGAAGTTACGACCTGGTGCTTGGAGGAAAGCAGCATGTGGAAGAGGAACCAGTAACTGCCTGAGGTTAAACCAAGCAAGGCAGAGGGGAACCTGGAGGCCTTTTCCTAGACGTTCATGGGTTTATTTGCTTGAAAACTGTTGTCAAACTCATCTGCACAGTTAGCAGAGTAGGATCATTCTCTGGAGGAGTTCACTGAGAGCTCACCCTGCAGTATTTGGGGATAGATGTCTTGGATCCTCTCTGGTAAAGGCCTTTGCTGTCTGATTGACTTGAGATGCTCCTCGCACGCCTTCCAGAACCCCCAGCTGCTTCTGTGAAGTGGCGCGGGTGCAGGAAGCGGCACCACGACCCCTCCGCAGGAGCAGCACACTGTGCCCCAGTGTGCTGAGCCCCACTGTGCCCCACTGTGCTGAGCAGCAGCTGCTCTGGAGAGCTCAGAAATAATCCCCAAGTCTTTGGGGCCCAGAGATGTTGTTGTACCCAGGATGCTTGAAGGATTGCCAAAGTTGAAAAAGAAAAAAAGTAGTTGAGAGAGGCAGAGCGTGATGTCAGCAGTGATGGCCCACAGGGGCTCTCCACAATAAGGTGAAACTCATCTGCAGAGCAGATTATRGTGTAGTCATCTTTAGGAAAGGAGCATCTCCTCCGTTCCCACTCTAAGTGCAAGAATGGCTTTGTTTTGACCTTTTCTAGTACAAATCCAGAGTAGCAAATTCAACTGAACCTACTGTAAATGTTTTCTCATTTTTCCCCTATGGGACAAAGCAGTGTGGTACACTTGTTAGATGCATTTTCTGTATCATATTGTCAAAGGTGCTTATCTCCTATGATGATTTTAATTCCATAGAAACCAAAATTGTTCAGGCTAAGAGAAGACTTCTATTTTACTTTTAAAACAGAAAGATTTACCTAAGGGGCCTTTTGATTCGGGGCTATAGCACACATGTATTTGGTATTAAAACATGTATCCTCTTAATCTAGGAAAAAGACCCTGAGGTGAGGGCAGCRCTTCACGGTTTGGGTGTTTGTCTTGTGGTTAGTCCTTGAGTGTTTCTTACATGATTTTTTTCCTCTTTTTTCCTTTCCCTTGAGTAGAACATGGATTCTGCTCTTCACTATATTCATAATGATTCGGATTTGAGCACCAATAGTAGCTTCAGCCCTGAAGAAGAAAGAAAATCCAAAGTACAGGTAAATGACAGTGACTTTTGTTTTGCCTGTATGAATCGGGCAGGATTTATATATATATTTTATATATATATATATATATATATGGGTGTGTGTATATATATATATGGGTGTGTGTGTATATATATATATATATGGGTGTGTGTGTATATATATATATGGGTGTATATATATGGGAATATTTTTTTCTCTGATCATTTTCAATGTAATGTATTCTCTGTACGCTATGGAAAACCTCTTAAATAGACCTCTCTTTAAAATAGTTCCAGAGTTTCTAGAGATAATGGCTCCATTCAGCAGTTGCTTCTGTTTTAATTGTGTCTAAGAGATGAGAACATTTTTTTTAAACATGAGAACAGCTAGACTTTCAGGCTCTAATTTTGAGTTTAATTCTCTCTGGAAAGTGTCTTGTAATTTAAATTAGGATATTTTGTTAATTGTTTTGGGTGAAACTGCTCCTACCTCCATGGCAGCTTTTTAAAGAAAAGCCATGGAAATGTATTTCATGCTCATGTGGACTGTGCTGTTCAGCAGCTCGATGCCAGTGACATGTCCTTGTGCACCCCACTGGGGACAGTTAGTCTTCATTAGAGTCTTCACAGGATCTCTTTGTCTATGGAGAAACTTTTTTCTCCCTGTTGCTCCCTGACTATATAGGGAGTTAGGAAGCAGTATTGCATACCTTGTATGTTCTGCAGCCTCTCCCTATACACTCCTTCCTCAACGTATTTTAATTTGGCTTCCTTCTCTCCCCTCCTCGGAAAGACAAGATTTTGCAAATAATGATAAATGATTTTTGAGGAAGTGTCGTCCTTTGCAATCATGCTCATTTTATGGATGAGTTAAAATGGGCAAACTGTGCCAAGTTTACATGAGCTACAAGTCTGAATGTTTGGAGAGAAGTAGATTATAGTTTCTTATTTTCTTGGCCTAAGTAGGCAGTGATCCATCCACGCATCTGTTACGTCAGTCTTTCTGCTTTCAGATAGCTCCCAAAAGTCGTTGTGTCTTCTACAGGTGGAATTTTCATGAATTAGAAAACTTCTGCATTCTTACCAGGAGATTTTAATTGAAGAAAATTCTGTAGTTGGGGGAGGGGAAAGAATGTTATTCTAATCGTGTGCTCTGAAATTTTAATAGTCTCTATAAGGATTTACTGAAAACGGTGTAAACTCTGCCTGTTTCTGTGCTGCAGGATGTTGTACCTCAAGCCTTGCTGGATCAGTATTTATCCATGACGGATCCCTCTCGCGCACAAACAGTCGATACCGAGATTGCCAAGCACTGTGCCTACAGCCTGCCAGGGGTGGCACTCACGCTGGGCAGGCAGAACTGGCACTGTCTGAAAGACACCTACGAGACGCTGGCATCTGACATGCAGGTGGGCTGCACGTTCTGTTCAGCATGAAAAACGTRGACAATGAATAAGCTGTGAGCTTTTGTGTCGGCCTTTTGGTGCAYGAGGTGTTGGGTTGCTCTCTTCTGCATGTCATGCACGCTGTTGTCTTGGAGGAAGCCGGGGGTGCGTGGTGCTCAGGTAGTAAGCGAGAGAGAGGGGCTAATTTGGGCACATTGGTGGGAACGTGAGGAGAGCTCTGCAGGCTCCTGGGCTCGCCAGCAGGTTTGGGCTTCTCGCAGGCGTGAGCGCTGTGGCTGCGCTGCAGCGTGCGYGGGCACGTGCCCCACGGGCACGTCCAGGAGTCAGCCCCATGCCAGGCCCCGCTGGCCTTTGGTGCTCCATGCAGCAGTCACATGGGAGTAATGTCACTGTCACCGTGCAGCACTGCTGGTTGAAAAACCACTCCCAGAAATAGCCGTGGTTTTGTTAGGTGGTAAGAGGCAGCTTTGTGCATTTCGCTGGTGGGTTATAGTTGTTTCCAGTCTTCCTCTCCTTCCTTTTTCGGAGCCGCTTGCTTTTATGAGCCTGCTCTGGCTCCTTCACCTCTCTTGAACTTGCTGCTGCTGCGTTGGAGAGGCAGTTTTCAGTGATTTGTAGGGACTAATTTTATAKATGGGTATTGCTCATATTTTCCAGTGTCTTGCAGCTATGAGAAACAACCAAACAATAAGTTAAATAAGTTTTAAACAATAAGTTTTGCCGACGATACCAAACTGGGTGGAGTAGCTGATAGCCCTGAGGGCTGTGCTGCCATCCAGAGGGACCTGGACAGACTGGAGGACTGGGCGGCGAGAAACCTCATGAGGTTCAACAGGGGCAAGTGCAGGGTCCTGCACTTGGGGAGGAATAACCCTGGACACCAGTACAGATTAGGGGTGGACCTGCTGGAGAGCAGTCCCGCAGAGAGGGACCTGGGTGTCATGGTGGATGACAAGATGACCATGAGGCAGCAGTGTGCCCTGGTGGCCAGGAAGGCCAACGGGATCCTGGGGTGCATTAAGAAGAGTGTCTCCAGCAGGTCGAGAGAGGTGATCATCCCCCTCTACTCAGCCCTGGTGAGGCCACATCTGGAGTACTGCGTCCAGTTCTGGGCTCCCCAGTACAAGAGGGATGTGGAGCTGCTGGAGAGAGTCCAGCGCAGGGCTACCAGGATGATCAGRGGCCTGGAACATCTGCCCTATGAGCAAAGGCTGAGGGAGCTGGGCCTGTTCAGCCTGGAGAAGAGGAGGCTGAGGGGGGACCTGATCAGCGTGTATAAATACCTCAAGGGAGGCAGTGAGGAGGAGGGGGSCGGCCTCTTKTCAGTGGTGRGCAGGGATAGGACTAGAGGAAATGGCTTCAAACTGAAGCATCGGAAGTTCCACAGGAACTTAAGGAAGCATTTCTTCACTGTGAGGGTGACAAAGCACTGGAACAGGCTGCCCAGAGAGGTTGTGGAGTCTCCTTCTTTGGAGATCTTTAAAACCCGCTTGGATGCAGCCCTGTGCCCCGTGCTCTAGGTGACCCTGCGTGAGCAGGTGGATTGGACTAGATGACCTCTGAGGTCCCTTCCAACCTTCGGCATTCTATGATTCTATGATAAAGCATAAATTAAAATAAATTAGTTGGTGTTTAAAACTGTCCTGAGTTTATCGGCAGTCTAATCTGAACCAAAATTGAGTCATCAAGCCAGGTGAAGAAACAGTTCACTAAGAGTTCCCTAACTGGAAAGTGCTGATTGGAGAAGAGATGCTATTTATTTATATTTTAAGAGTACTTAATTTAAATAGTTAATCCATCAAAATGGTGCTCACTCAAGTTAGGGCCAGTAAAAGCTCTGCAGATGGCAGCCTGCTTGGCTCTTTCTAAGCCTCAAACTTCATCTGTTAGGGAAGCTGAAAGATTCCAGCTTAAATACGGAAGTATTTTTTGTTCTGCCTTATAAATATAGCAGCATAGGACTAGTTTACTCAACAYGAACATGAAGCAAAGAGTAATGTATAGAAAAATGCTGTTATCAAGAATACTATTTTCCTTCCTTGCACCTGAAAACTTAAAATATTCTTGTAACTTATTTGCCTAGTTGCTAGGTACTGAGTTGGAACAAATTAAGGGACARCTCAAAGATCATAATTTCTCTTCATTTTCCTTTCTCTTTCTCTCATACACTTTCAATATTTAATTTTATTTTAAATCATGTGACACATGCACACATAGGACACAATTGTTAAATGCAGCTGTATGTACTGTAGCCCTCTGAGACTCAGACATGGATACTGACCCTCAGATTAAATTTGGAGCGCTTAGGATGGCTCACTAATAAAGTGTGTGTGTGTGTGTGTGTGTTTTTATTTTTGTTTTTGTTTTTATTTTTATTCTTTACAGTGGAAAGTTCGACGGACGCTAGCGTTTTCTATACATGAACTTGCCGTGATCCTCGGAGACCAGCTCACAGCTGGAGATTTGGTTCCTGTCTTCAATGGCTTTCTGAAGGACCTAGATGAAGTCAGGATAGGTGTGCTTAAACACTTGCATGACTTCCTGAAGGTACGTCTGTCATCAACTTGGCTCCACTTCAATTGCCCATTTTACTGTTTTTCCTTGTTTACACTTGTGKTTTTTTTAACATAACACCAGTATGGCCCTTTTGAGAATAGATAGGAATGTCTGTTTGAATACTGGGATATCTTTTGCAGGAGGCTCGTGCTGCTTATTGCTTCTCCCTGAAGAATTTGATCTCTGTATAAGTTTTTCATGTATAGGTGTTAGTGGATTGTATTAAGCTTTCYGATATCATTAACCTCTTGGTAGCAATACTCTTCTCCAACCTTTTAGGAGTTTTCTACAACCTTGTCCTTTTTGAGCTGAAAACCACAAATCATAAAACCTTTAAAACTGGTGCTAGGTTTATTGTTTAATGTTTTTATTGTCTAGGGAAAACCTAGGAAGAGTTTGTCCGCTAGAGAAAACTCTTCTAGAGCTTTTACCTACAAAAGGAYATTATGTGATTTCAGTGACTTAAGCATGGTGCAGTTTAGCTCAGAAAAGCRCCACTATTATTAAAGATTAATTTCTGAATCAAAGCAAGCTTCGTATTAGTTCTCTCTTAAGCCTCTTGTTCCATCTGCCTTTTGTCTGTAACTTGTTCACTGCTGCAGCTTCTCCATCTTGACAAAAGGCGAGAGTATCTTTATCAGCTCCAGGAATTCCTCGTGACGGATAACAGCAGGAACTGGCGTTTCCGTGCAGAGTTGGCTGAGTAAGTGGCTGCCTGAGTGTTTATTTTTCACATGGACATTGTAAAATGTTTAAAATCGTAAAACAAATGTCTTAGAGTAACAACCTTCATTTTGTTTTTGATTAGTGAATTATCCTTTCCCACTTGTTCTCATCATTTCAAAATTCCTAATTTTGAATTGCGTGTCCTATAAAACAGTTGAGAATGTCTTTTCCATTATCATATGTTGAAAACATTACTCTCTTCCTAAAAAAAGAAAAAAAGCTGCCATGAGAGGACCGTGTCCAGTTCCTTTTYAAATTAGTAGTGTTTTAGTCATTTGACTTCAAGTTGCTGAGCCTGGTGGACAGGCTGCTGCGTTCATGACATAGAGGAGATCAAGATGCTCAGAGAAGAGAAGAAAGCAAGTAGCGGAGAACAGCCCTTAGATTTCATGTGAGCAGACTTTGGCTTTTTCGTGGAACTGGGATCCCAGGGGAAGGACAAAGCTGCTCAGGAAAGCTGTCAAGTCTTTAGCAACAGACAGCATCCTCCAAACAAAAGAAGAGTCCATCTTGATATTCAGAAAAATAGGTAGTCCTATCACCAACATGGCCTGACTGGGCAGAGAGCTCTTGGCTGAGCTTGAAAACCAAAAAAGTGCCCTATAGGAAGGGGAAATGGATGCATCCTGGACACAAGGAATGCTCAGGCTCCGTGCTCTGACACGTAGTGTAACGAGATAAAGCTTGGCTAGAGCTGACTAGCTAGAGCTACAACCCTCTGAGCTCTGCCTTTCAGCCAGTTCTTAGTCCACCTCCGTCTCCACTCATCCACTCTGCACTTTCTCAGCTTCCCCATGAGGATGTTATGGGAGACAGTGCCAGAAGCCTGGCTGAAGTCAAGGTATTCAGCATCCACTGCCCTCCCCTATCCATCCAGCCAGTCATTCCGTCCTAGGAGGCCATCAAGTTGGCTAAGAGTGATACTTCCCTTGGTGAATCCATGCTGACTAAGCACCAAGTAGGTCTCTGGAAAGGCCAAGGTTTGCTCTCCTAAAGCCTGGGGTAGTGATCCTGTTTATCAGGACTCCCCTTTCAAGACTCGGATGGATACAACTCTGCAACATGGCCTCAAGTCATTGCTACTTGAGTAGGGGGTTAGAGGGCTCCACCCAGTAAGAATTTTCCCATGTTCCCATGATTTCATTTCTGAAATGTCAATGTGTGCTCATATTGCACAGCTTTATTTCACTAATGCTCTTGAAGAGGAACGAGCATAGTGTAAAGATCAATTACAAGGTGTCTATCAAATGCAGTTCTGAGAGACCTGGTTAACAGCTGTTACGGTGCAGTTGGCACATTTAAATGTTGTTTTGGTTTGAAATTACCTGTTGTTTTTCTGCCACGGATATGTAACAGTTATTGTCTGCTTGTAATGTATTTTGCTGGCTTTTTTAATGAACTTCTRCAATTCATAGCACCTAATTGTTTCTGCAACCTGTGCCAATCTTGGTTCACTCCTTACAAAATGAAGTGCAGAGCCGAGTAGGCTGGGCAACTGTCTAGCAGAAATTCTCTGAAGTAGAGAGGTTTTATTTGATAAATAAGTATCCGCGTTTTGATAAATCAGTCCCTTAGGATATTAGCTTTATGCACACGTGCAAGATATGCGATGTTAGAATGCACAGGCAGGCAGCAGTGTTGCTCAGCTGCGTTGCTGTGTTGCATGCATGTTTTATCAGGAGCCCTGCATTGTAAATACAGAGTTTGCTCCTTGGCTTCTTTCCCAGGTAGGTTGTTATTTGAGATCGTTCAGCATTTCAGCATTTCATCATTATCTTGAGTAAGTGGAAATTTAAAACCTCAAGTGATCCACAGTGGAACTGATGATGTTGAAGGACAGAAGATTTTGCTCTTCCCTGACCTTATTATGGCCATAATCTGTTACACAACAGAGGCCAAATACATGATTGTTTTCACATTTAAGATTCCTTTCTCAGTTTCCTAACATTCTCTGTGCTTTCTCTTCTTTCTTTTAGACAGCTGATCTTGCTTTTAGATCTGTACAGTGCCAGAGACATCTATGACTACTTGCGGCCTATCGCTTTCAGCCTGTGTGCAGACAAAGTGTCTTCTGTCCGTTGGATTTCTTACAAACTGGTAATGAAAAGCTCAGTCCAAGTAAATTCAGGATTCTAAATTCAGAGGGTGTTAGTCAGAAGTGTGGGGTTTTTGTTTTGTTTGTTTTTTGTTTTTTGTTTTTTTTTTTACATATTTATCCCCATCTTTTAGGTGAGCGAAATGGTAAAGAAGTTGTATGTGGCTTCAGCGTCAACTTTTGTGGTAGACCTGATGGATGAACTTGTTGAAAAGTTTTGCAGATGCCACAAGTGGTCTGGGCGGCAAACTTTTGTTTTTATCTGCCAGGTAAAAYGTCATTTCATTCATCTATTTTGTTTATTGGAAGGGAAGGCAAGCAGCTGGAACGCTTTAGCTGCTGATACTTTCTCACAAATATTTAAGAACATCCTGACTTTGTGGCCTGTTTTCTTCAGTGTTGCTCTGCAGTAGAGCTTCCAAGGAGATGCTGCAAAACAAAACCTGCTGCTTACCTGGAAGTAGGTACCATGGCTAAAAATGGTACCGATGGCTGGTTTATTAGCTAATTGCCTAGCACTCTTATATTAAACTGCAGGTTTGCATATTAACTTCAGGTTTTCAGAACAGACTGAACATCAAGTACGCATATAATAAATATAAACATGATAAAACAGTACCAGCTATGTCCAAGTTGTGACTCAGCATAAAGTAAGATTTTTGTGCTAATGATGAGACTGAGCTTCTGCAGCTGCCTGTTCCTTTTCTGGATGATCCTTTAGAMGTCAAGGGCTAGGAATTGCCTGTCCCTCCTGGGGCGGCTAGCACAGCTTTTTCAGAAGCAACAGAGGAGTTGACACTAGCTGGAGTTGGAGTAATCAAGAGTAGAAAATGGTCACATTTTGAAACAGTAGCAGAGGGGCAGACTGGGAACCAACATCCAAGTGAGGCAGCTGGCATTGAAGTGGTCAGAGAAATGTGGACTTTTAGCTGGTTTAGAGAAACGTGTGAATACAACGTGTGGATGTTTAGTTACAATAAAGACTAAATCTTTAAAAAAGTGTTGTGAAGGTCTTTTTTATTTCTTATTGTCAAATGTTGTATTGATAACCATTTAAGAAGTTGTTAGGTCTCATGCAAAACAGCATGGGTTTCTAACTACGGTTTTGCTTCCTGCATGACTTCATGTTTGAAAGTTTTATACATGTTTCAGAACTTCAGTGGCAGACYCTGTGTTCATTCTTTGAAGGTAATAAGGTCTGTCAGCTGCTACTGTGATATCTGTTGGACTTTTATCCTCCCTGTGCTGAAATGTAATGAATTTGCCTTGCTCTTCTTGCCAGACTATCAGTGAAGATGACTGCCTGCCCATGGACCAGTTTGCAGTGCATCTGTTGCCACACTTACTGCACCTGGCATCTGACAGGGTGCCCAACGTTCGAGTCCTGCTTGCAAAGACGTTAAAGCAAACCCTGCTAGAGAAAGGTTAGTGGTCAGAAGGAGCTGCAGGGCACTGGCTGGGTATCTTCTCTGGTAGCTTGTTAATTTTTGGTTTTATCCAGCATCTGTTTTCTCAATGACAAAAAAAAAATTGCTGCTGTTTGATTTTTATATTTTACGGGAACTGTAAGAAGAAGGTTTCTTGAGAGCTCTAGAGGGGAATTAGACATGCTGCTTTGCAATCACAGGCTTTTCTTAGGAAAGCATTCCCTATGCCTAGCAGATGCCAGGGCAGTCGAATGCCAAGGCACTGTAACGGAAAATACCACTAGGAATACTGCACCGCTTTGCAAACAAGCAGAGCGTGCTCACATTTGCTGTGCTTTGTTCAGCTTGGGTGATTTTCTTCCTCAAAAACATGCACTGTCTGGAGACTACTGGTTTTGACTTAGAAAAGGTAGACATGGTGTGAAGAAAAATGAAAAATATTTCGAGTATTGGACAATTTCAAAGAATGCCAAATCAGCTAGAGGAATAATAGCTATCTTGTATATATGTAAGGCATAYAGGTTCGTAATGATACCTTTAGACAGTTGCCACAAATCCGGTAAGATGCGGTAGTTTGTTACCTTCTTTTGGCTGAGCCAGGGCCCTCAGTGCTGTTGCTGTTACCRCGTGCCACTTGTCTGGTCCCCACCRGGATGGTCCTGCTCCGTTCTGCGTTGCTGCTCCTCAAGCTTACGATCAAGTCCCTGCCTCAAAAAGTGATTAGGGGTGGATTGATTAGGAAAGGCAGATACAAAAATATAACTTCAGAACTTAAACCTCAGAGAATCAATGGCCCTTCCGCCAGGCTGGCTGTGGCTGTGCTGTTGTATGACCTGTCCTGTGGTTCCTGAGTAGCCGTCAGAAGTTGGGCCCTCTTCCRCTGCTCTCTCACCATGCCCTCGTGTCCTTGTTGGGTGACCATCCGCCGGCCCTGCCGGGGAACGGAGCGGCCCGTGCGTGGGAGTGTGGTGCCTTCCCTCCGACCCAAACACACCAGCGCTCCCACTGAGTCTCTTGCTGGAATATTTCTTTCCTCCTTGCTCATGGAGTGTGTGACTCCCACTTTAACCAGAAGAGTGTAGAAATCTTGTACTCTGCTCGCACAGTTAGAGCAACTATGTCATCTCAAACATGCAGGGACTTTAAGTGAATTTTAAAATCTCTGTAGAAGTGTGTGTCTGCTCAGATATTCTGGTTTAACTGCACATGGGCAATAGGAACAGTGTGCTGAGGTTTGCTCCGCAGTATCTACTGTCCCTTCCTCCCGTGCAAGTCTCTCCCGTTTTCTCTTCCAGAGTATTTTCTAAATTCTGCCAACTCTCACCAAGAGGCTGTGGAGCAGACGATCATGGCGCTTCAAATGGACGAGGACAGTGATGTCAAGTACTTTGCAAGCATCCACCCTGCCAGCACCAAAATCGCAGATGATGCGATGAGCACGGCCTCGTCAACTTACTGAAAAGCTCCTGAATGTTGCTATGATTAAAAAAAAAAAAAAAATTGAAACAAACTATCCTCAAATGCTCCTAAAATGGATGATCTAGGACAGCCTCTTCAGAAGGAGAGATTTCTTGCCAGACTTAGCAGGTGGATGTTACCTAAACCTGCCACCAGGGATTTTAAGTCACGAGAAAGTCAACGTTAGCTCTGTCATCTTGACTTTAGAAAACCATTGCTCAGAGGATTGTTTTTGCCACCGAAGCCTTAAATCTTCTGTCTTCCTGAACAACCGAAACTTGAATTGGCCGATGAGTCTCCTTGTAGGAAGGATGGGATTGCCAGAGACGTGCGCCGCTTCTCCCGAGGAGYTACCCTCGCAAGTGTTGTCTGTAGCAGCCGCTGGGAGGGCTGGCGGAAGGGCGAGTCGGTGCCGGGCCGCGAGGCCGCCAGGATGAGCCCGGAACGCTCCTGTGGCCCGAGGAGCCGGCTCGGGGCACCCCCTGACGGGGCAGGAGCTTGGGCGCCTCTCCATGGGGAGAAGCAGAAATTTGGATTTCTCTTAAGGGCTCAGTGCTAACACTAAACTAGAATTTGATTTTAATCCTTTAAATGCAGCATATTGCTGTATCCAATAGCAGAAAACTTTGCTGAGTACCTGTGTCCTAATTATTTTCATGCTGGTCATGACCTAAAGGCAATTTATTAGCACATGTACTTTAAGTCAGGTATTTTTAACTTGATCATGATCGGCTCTGAGGTGCGACTTTTTTTCTTCGTATACTGTACAGATCTGTGAGCCTCTTTGGAGTGCTGCAGTCTTTAATCATGTTGTTTAAAGCTGTTGTGATACAAGTTGTTCTCTACTTGTCCAAATAAAATTTATTAATAAGATTGAAAGAAAACTTGTGACCTTTTTAAGACATTAAAAAAAATGTTTGAAATCAAAGTGTCTTTTTCTTCTCCGGGTCTTGGTGCTTGACCCGCGTGGGYGCCTGGGTGGGGGGAAGCTCCTTAGTGCTTGGGAGGAATTGTGTGCGTGGAGCTGCAGTGTTTGTGGCAGAGCTCCTTGGTGGTGCCGGGATGCCGCCGGATGCTCTTTGGGGATCCGTGCCGTGCTTGGAAACGTGGGAGTCTGCGCTGGCGCTCCGGCCCTCTGCGGTGCCTGATCCCGTGCTCCTGTCTGTCTCTTCCAGGGGCAGCTCGTGCGTCTCGGCTGTGCCCGGCCTGCGGGACCTGCTGTGCGGGAAGCTGCTTTTCCCGACGAGTTGGAACCGGCTGTGGCAACTTCTCCTGGCTGCATTCCTGCTGATCTCCTCCGTGTGTTGGTCAGGGGGTGAGTGCCCCAACAGTTCAGCCTCAGGCAGGTGTCTTTTTCCTTGTTTTCTTGGGATTTTTTTTTTCCATTAGTAAATAGGAGGTTGCTATCTACTTTCCAGACACCGGTTGTTCTTACTCCTGTGCCTGGCCATGGAAGTGACTAAAATACCAAGTCATTCCCGTCTGTCTTGATGTTTGGTGGAGGTGGGGGAGCYGAGGGCTGCTCTTTTGTTTCGTTTTCCCTCCCTTGTCCCTCTTCCCCTCAAAACGAACTCCAAATCGAACAGGCAGCTACRGGGCTGGGTCAGAAGGTGCATAGCTGGCGCGGCAGAATTCCCCTGCCACTGCCAGAGGGGCAGTTTGTCCGGAATGGGCCGGGCTGCTCCGGCCTGGCAGAGCGCGGTGTCCCCTTGGGGCACAGGGCTCCCGGGAGGAGCTGGTCCCCCCGGGCTGCGTGACTCCCCTTCTAGGGAAAGGCTCTGAAGTGACACCGATTCCTGTGTTTTTCTCCAGGGTATGCGAATCCCTGYCTGCTTTTTGTCCCTGCAATGACACTTGCTGTTGGTCAGTGGATGTGATTTTTGATGTGACTGGATCAGCTGTTAGTCAAACCGAGGGATGTTTTGGATCTTCACATTGTGAGTTGAAGTGCTGTTCACAGAGGGAGAACGGGGATTTTGGATGGATTCTCAGCATTTGGAGTCCGGAATGACCAGTACTCACTGAGCTGCCATGTCCCGGCCTAATTCTGTTGCTGGTAACGCTGTATCCTGCAGAATGATGCAGGGTGTCCGGTCCGATGGCATCTGGGGTTTGGAGACAGGATGCCTTTGGAGTTGAACAGGGGGCCCATCTTCCTGGTGCCCTGGCTTCCCAGCGTGTGCTTCCCTGGCACTGTTGTCGTCTCACTGTAGGATTGGGAGCGGCTCCGTCGGTCGCAGCTCCTGGCAGTCGTGGCTGGGCGGCTGCTCGCCCGTGCTGTTTGTGCCCTCAGGAAAGAGGCTCCCGGCTGCTGTATCCGCAGCTCCCCTGAGCCCCGGGAAGCGTCCTGGAGAGGGGATGGGGCTGCCCAGGAGCTGCCTGCRCCGGAGGGGCCGGCGTGGTTTCCGTTCCCGAGGGCCGTAACTGCCCTCACAAACAAAGACCTTCTGCAGGGCAAGCGCAAGGAAACGCTGCTGTTCTCCGCTCGCTCTTCCCGGCGTGTCCTTCACCTGCCACCTCCCTGCGTCAGGCCGGGATCCTTCATCCGTCAGGGGTTCTCGGCAGCGCGGGAGGTGGCCCCCAACCGCCCCTGGCTTCCCGAAAGCAGCCGCCCCGTCTGCTGGGTGTAAGTGCCATAAAATGCCACGTACACTCTCTTTCCAAAATGTTCCTTATTTGCAGTTTAWTCCCTTTCCTAACAGTTTCTCCATRGGGAATATATTTTTTCCCCGCCGTGTCTTGGTCACAGCGCCATCTGCCCTTCCCTGCTCTCTGCTGTTTCCCGAGTATTTATTTCCTCACCACACTTTTCTTGCTCAGTTTTCCTGCCCGTACAATGGGCAAACGTGTGAAACTTTGTGAGGGGCAGTTTCTTGTTGCAACCTAGACAAGCAAGACAGACACTTGAGAACTTGGSGGTGTTTGGGTTTTGTTTGGAATGCCCCATGTAATTGCTCCTGGGGTCCCTGGTCCTGTGGATGGGATGCTACTTGCATTAGGACTTAGGAGGGTAGCGGGCTAATTTCGACTGGAAAAAATGTTTGAATGGGTTTGGGAATGCCAGCAGGAGAGGAGGCAGCTCCTGGGCAGTAGGAGTGTGGCCGTGGTGGATTCCTCGTTGGTTCCAGAGCTGCTGCCCACCTCSCTCAGCTGGGGTCCCGTGTGTCACCATTCGGCACTGTGGGGCTCAGGGGCGGCTCCTTTGGACTGGCAGCGAGCGAGCAGGGAAGGGGGAACAGCCYGCTGTGGGGAGCAGTTCAGCTCCAATCCGCCTTCCTCCCCCGGGGAGCTTTCCTTGTCCTCTGCGTGCCGGCAAAACGGGAACGCAGGCCGCTGCACTGCCCTCCCTGCACCCAGGGACTGCAGAACGAACGGGAACCCTGCCCRTGGGAAGGGTGCGGATCAGAGCCGAGCTGCCGGGCACATCTGCGTCCCGAGGGCTCCGTGGTGGGGCCRGCAGGGCCCAGTTCTGTGTTTTGCAGGGGGTGCCACGTCGGGGTGGCTGCCACGCGGAGGCCCGTGCTGCAGGGGAGCCCCAGGGAGCGGCACCGGGCGCCTCCAGAGCCGCCCTGCGCTGCTGCCTCCGGCTGAGCTGCTCCCCTCGGCAGCCGCCTCGGCCGCGGGGTCTGTTCCTTTGCTTGTTTTGGAGGGGAAGCCCTGGGGTTCGGACACACGTTCTGAGCTCCCGGATGCACACTTAAAAAAAAACATGGGAAGAGGAATTGCTCGCTGCTCACCTCTTTGGGTGAGTAGCTGCTCATCTTTCCGAAGTAGAACCGGTTGTTGGGGTGGGTTACTGTGTGCACAGCAGCGCCCGAGGCGCTTCCCTGCGCCCTCGTGCCAGCGCGGGGAGCCGCCGGCTCGGGTGCAGGCAGGCGCTGCGGGCAGAGAGCCCGGCTGGCGGCCCCACGCGGGCGCCCCGGTGCTGCTCGTCCTGCTGCCCAGGTGGTGTGTCTGGCTCCGTGGGGCTTGCTTAAGGGCTCATTTGACGCAGTCTGGCCTAGACGTGTTGAAAAGGACTGCTAAAACCGACGAGGTAAATAACACTCCCTTTGCCACTGTTGTAAGAGAACTTGTGAAGTAACGACGCTCTGTGGAAAGACTCGCAGCACGGAGGCAAACGAGCCCRTGAAACTGCTGCAAAAGACTGGATGCAGAGGGCCCCGACTGCCTTTGTAATGAATAAGCATTCATTACACGAAGGCTAAAGGAGGGACACGGAAGCTGCCGGTGCAGCGAGCGCCAATACAGCCCTGCCTTTGTCACTGGAACCCCGGCGCTGCTCTGAGCACGGTCTGAGTAGCAGGGTAAGGGGGAAGTCTGGCTGCCTGGGCCCGGTGACTCGCTCAGGCTTGACCAGTAGCTACGTGCAGGTAACGCTCCGGGTAGCGTCTGCTTCACCAGAACCTGGAAGGAGGCTGCAAGTAACGAGCGTTCCTGCATTGGAAATAAATAATGAGCATTCCTGCACGGCAAATACCGAGCATCCCCTCAGCGCTTCAGCTAACGCCGGCAGCRGCTGCACGAGGGCGGAGGCAGCAGCGGAGCTTCCCGTCCTGGCGTGTCCGGCACGACTGCAGCAGCAGGAGCGGGGCCCGTGTGCTGTAGTAAGGACGYGAGTGCAGAGGATGGTTGTTACTTCTGCAGCTGAAGTGTCTAGTAGGTAGAGGGCAATGCTGACTTCCAAGATTTGTAATCATTTTGTAATCAAATCGTTGATGAGTAATTGAGCAGTGAGTTTGGGCTCAGTTAAGCAGCCTTCCCTGAACTGCAGCTGAACCGACCGCCCCCTCCCCTTCTGTTCCAACCTTCCCMACTGCAGGTGGCGACACAGGAAAAATGACCGGAGGCTGCGGGAGGGAGACCCAGAAGGAGGTAGATAAACCAGAAACCACTTCAAATGGCTGTTGAATTTATTTGCTTGATAAATACAATCCTAACAAAATAAAAGTTAACCAAGAGTAAGAGATTTGTTTGAAGAACATTAGAAAAATCCATGACAAKTTGATAGGAATTAGTGTGAATTAAACAAAAAAAAAAGTTTAAATATTGCCAGCAAATATAAAATGTTTGTAACGAAGGCATGGGAGAATGCTTTACATTTGTCATCTGATCACATTTTCTGTCTTTATAAACTTTTTTTTTCCAAATTTTAAAAAAATACTATGCTGTTTTCTCTAACATATCAAAGCATCATTTGTACAAAATCAAATCATGGCCAATGATTCACAACAGTGCAATAGATAGATAAGGAATACGACCACATCCAACAGGTGCTGAAAAATAAATATCCCGATTGAAAAATASGGTAGCCTGTCTGCACGCTGCCGCGTTGCTCCCGGGAGCCAGGGCGGGTGACAAGGCTCAGGGCTGTCCCGGAGCCAGGAGGTGGCCCCTAAGAGCCACCGGCGTGGAGGCTCCGCTTGCTCCAAAGCACCACCTGCCTGCTTTCCGAGCGCCGCGGGCGCCTGGGGCCGGTGCTCGGGGGCAGAGCTGGGGAGCAGCAGCCCCGGGGGCGGCCCTGCTAAGAGGGGGTGCCAGGGAGCCCCCTGCGCCGCTCTGCCCCACGGCCTCCCGCCCCTGGAGCCGGAGCCAAAGCAAGGGAAGGCTCCCGCGGATCGACTCTGCGTCAGAAAGGTATCGAAGGCACAAGCAAGAAGTGACTACATAAGCAGAAATGGTGTGAGGRAGAATGAAGAGAGTCACAAGGCAAATCGTTAGTAAGGGGAGGCTGGGGGCTGGTTTATTTGCTGAAAATGGGATCTTCCAAATCTGCTCCAGTGAATGCAAATAATGGTTTTGGTTTAAAAGAAAACTGCTATGGAATTGTTTTAATCACCTGAAGGAAACCAGTCTTGAAATAACTGATACTAGCTGGAAAACTCTTCTGGCCTCTCCAACCTCACCTGAGTCAGATGAGCAGAAGCCACAAGTACGAGAGACCTTTGGAGAGAGACCTCYCCAGGGCTTAAAAGAGAAGTTTCTTTACACAATGTACACAGCCAGCAATCACGTGTGCAGTTGGAGAATTACAGTAATTTGCACAGTCCGGTTGGTTCTACAGCTGCCCCGGAGCCCGGTGGGTCAGATGGGAGTCTCCTTCCTCTCCTTGCTTGGCGATGGCTTCACCGGCTGCTCCTTGCCCGCCTTGGGCTGCTCTTTGGCTGCTTTGGGCTCGAGGGCGGCGTCGCGGGGCTGCGGGGCGCCGGGCGGGCGCTTGTCGGGCTCCTCGTCGTCCTGCTGCTCGGCCTTGGCGCGCTGCAGCAGGCGCAGCTGCACGCGCAGCTCGATGATGGCCTCGCGCTCCTCGTGGATCGCCTGCGTCAGGTGGTTGTTCTTGATCTGGGGGCAAGGACAGCGCGTCACCGCTGCGGCTGCGGCTGCGGCAGCGCCCCGACGAGCCCGGCACTGAACCTGCAGCGCCCGGGCGCCCGCCTCAAGGAGCCACCAGAGCCTCTCGGGCTCCCATCTTTCCAAACTCGCCCTAGAGAAACAGCAGTCCTGCCTAAGGCCATAATAAATCCTCTTCGGAACCTCAGCTACCACCAGCAGGGCCAGGGAAAGACAGGGGCCCTTTTCCTGCCAGCAGCTCCTGCTCCGGAGAGCAGGGGAGAGCAGCGGCTTTCCCGCAGGCTTCAGTCACAGAGCTCCGAGGTGCTTGGAGCACGTGCCGGGCCCAGCCTCGGGAAGAGCTGCAGCTCCACCGAGGGCTGCTTCCTTTCTCAAGGGCACTTGTGCCAAGTGCAGCACATTAACCCCTCCCCTGGGCCCGCTCTGCTCGGACCTGCTCTACCTGAAACCCAGAGCCCCGGGCCCTCCACAAGGCGCAGGGTCTCGGGCCCAGGGGAGKTGGGAGCGACACGTCCCGCCAGCCTGAGGCAAAGTTCTAGGGAAAGCAGCAGCTRCTGCCAGGCTTGGGCTTGTACCTCCAGCTCCTCGTTCTGCCGCTGCAGATCCTCCAGGATGACCTGCAGCTCCTCCTCATCTTCACTCTCGCTTTCGCTCTCAGACGAATACTCCTCCGTCTCGCTGCGCCCGTGCTGCTGGCGGCTGGCAGAGCAGCGGGAAGCCCCGTGAGCAGCCAACGCGCTCCGGGCGCTCCGGGCGCGCAGCGGGGCCAGGCAGTGAAAGGTGCAGCCCCGAGCCCGGACCCGGCCGCGGGAGCAGCAGACTTGCAAACACGCGGTGCTCGCGGGCCCGGCCCGAGGCGGGAGCAGGGCACCGGCGCGGGCAGGGCGGGCGCCTGGCTGGGCCGCGCGGGCACGGGGGCAGCCCCCTCTTACCTTTGGATTTCGGCGATCTCCGCGCGCAGCCGCTCTATTTCCTCCTTCTCCGAGGCGATCTGCCGCCGCAGAAACTGCTCCATGGCCAGCAGCTCTTCCTGCTCTGTTAAGATCTCATTCTCCTGCGAAGACCAGTAAGGTCACCCTAAAAACACACACTCAAAGCCTCCCTTTCATGGCCTGCAGGGATTGCTCTGCAAYGGGCCCGAGCACAGGGCTCTCCCCCGCGCTCCCGGTTCCCCACAAGCGCAGAGCGGTTCCGGGGCCCCTGGCTCCATCGCTGTGGAGGTGACCCAGCAAATGCTACCGTGTTGGGCTGCCCCCTTCCTTAAGTCACAGGGGAAGTTCTGGAAAACTAGAAAACCAAACTTTGAAGCAGATCGTGCAGGTGGAATATGAGGGAAAATTGCGATGGAGAAGAGCACAAAGCTCCCGAGGGAAGGGAAGGCAGAAAAGCCCAAATCGCTGCCTTTTACTCCTCTGAGCTGTGGGGAACCAGCTGGCTGCCCTGGGAAGTTCCTTCTACTTCCCAGCGAAAGTTCACAGGAGAGGGGCTGCGCTTCCGTGGCACAGCGTCTGCTCTCTGCTGCAAACACCCCAGCAAGCGGTGGCTTCACCCTGCGGTCACACACGCCTTCCCTCCGGCATCAACCCGCCCACACAACCCTCATTTTTAGGGCCAGAGAGACAGTGCTGGAAAGAACTCACGTGTGTCGAACAATCCTGAGGCAGCGCAGAGGGAACTGCCACCTACCTGTGCAAGCAGAATATTTATAACTTCCTCATTCTCGTTCATCTCCTCTTTGGAGACATCCTCCTTGGAAAGGCTGGCGATCTCCTGGGCGATCTTTGTTTCACACTCCTGCCGGGGCGCAGAGCTCAGCGTCAGCCGGGCAGCCCCTCTCCCCAGACACCTCAATTATTTGCTGCCCAAAGGGATTTGTGGGCTCTCCCTGCTCAAGGCTTACCTTCATGTTTAGTTGAACTAGTGTTTAGTTGAACCTTAGATGTTTAGTTGATAGATAGAAAGGTACCCACCTGTCTCTTGGCTTCTCTTAATTTCCTTTTAAGAGCTGTTAAAATTCTTTGCACCTCCCAGAGTCTCTCCTCTTTGGATAAGTCTTTTATCCCCGCCTGCAAGTCCCGGTGTAAACAGTTCAGCAGGAACTCCTGGAAATGTTACCAAAGAGGTCACAGTCACTGCAGGGCCCACACACACCGTCAATAGCCCCGACTTCTTTAGCAGTAACTGAATCACCTTTTGTGGTCAGAAGTGTCTGGGCCGCTAAGATGGTGTTCAGGAATTTTATTCATTTATTTTTAATCCTTTAGGAGAACAGCTTGGCAACACTAGCCTCCAGTTGTAAAAGTTCTCAGTTATTTGGTCTTCCTTATTTACAACTGCCTGTGCGAGAGGAGCGGGGCCCAGCRGGAGCGCTGAGGAGACGGGGTCGCCTCGCGGGGTCCCTGCCCCGTCTCTAAGCCCTCTAAGTGCTCAGAGAGCACTCGGAGCACTCTGAGACAGTGCGGGGCGACGCAGCTAGGAAGGGTCTGGTGGTTTTGCCCAGCCGTAACCCAGCGGAGGGAGGGAGGGAGGGAGGGAGGGGAAACCGGCCCTCCGAGCCCGGCCCCGGGTGGCTGGCCCTGCCAGCCCGGGTGGCTCCGCTCAGGACGCACCAAGGGTCACGGTCATCATCCTAAGACTAGAAAATACCTTTCCACACATGGAACGAGCAGGAATACAACTACTCATGATGTTAGGAAACAACAACAATAAAAAGCAACAGCTTATGAACGTTTGCTGTTGAATATATGAAAACAAACGAGTAAAGAGGCACAGCAAGAGCAGTGCTGAGGCAGTGACCGACCTGCCGCCTGATTTCCTCTTTGATGCTCTCCTGCGTCTCGGGAAGCGCCGGCATCGTGGCCATGTTGGACCAGCGCAGAGGCTTCGTCACTGGCTTTAGGGAGACGTCCCCGAAGAACTCTTGGACGTGTGTAAAGAACACGTACAGGACCCGGTTGCTGATCTGCCAAGGCAAAACACCAGCTGAGACGGCGGCTCCTTACACAGCCCTGCGAGCGCTGCGGGTCGCGGCCCACGAGCGCCTCTTCCCCCGGAAGGGAAAGGGCCAGAAGGAGGCACCTCTCCGAGCAGTGCCCACGTTTTAGCTCCACCAGGCACACTGAACTTGGTTGTAACCAGCATTCCAAATAAATCACCACATATTCATCCGTTAGCTGTCTTTGTTGTTGTCCTATAGCATCACCACCGATGTGCTGAGGTCACTGTAAGCTACAAAACACGACTGCACCCGCGTTGCTCTACATTAACTGGTGCCTGTTCTGGTAGCCAGGAAGGGCTGGGCAGAGCGAGAGCAATGTCCAGCCCTCCTGCCAGCCCTCCGCACCCAAGCTGTTAACTAGAAAGCAGAGCTTGAGAGGCAAGCCCGGCACTAGGTTTCTGTTGTGCGCAGGACTAGTTCTGACCCCTGCTTAAATCAGAGCTTTCCAAGCCGTCTGTTGAGAACGGGCTCTGGGAAACCAGAGCTGCAGGCGGAGCRCGAGGCTGGCGGGTGCGTGGGCGCTCGCGGCGCGGGGTCCCTCCGGCAGCGGGGCAGCACCGCGGGCTTTGGCAGCGCACACGGACACACGGGGCTGCTGGCACCGCTGGCAGCCGAAGGCGCCGTGAAACCACCGCTGCTCGCAGCAATAGCGACACCCCGGCGGCCCCACGCGCGGTGCTTTGGCGRGCAAGCTGCGCTCGGAGCCCACGGCGTCGGCCCAACGTTACGCAAGCTCTGGCTCGGAAAGCTTCATTCCCCTTCGCCACTGCTCTAAGCTCCCAAGGAGTAAAGAGAAGCTGGCATTTAGCTTGATCTTGCAGGACAAAATGGTTTACGCCTCTATACACCTATATGCCGGTGTCCCTGGGACTGAAGTTCTGCTCTGGCACTTGCTGCGCGCTGCACGTACCTGGACAGTGGGGCTGAGCACGATGGAGATATTCTGGATGTTCATTTTGGTTTCCAGTTCTTTTGCAATAACGTGATCCATGTGCACGATCAACCAGGAAATGAGGAGATGGTTGCACTCGGGCAACTCCTTGAGCAGCCTCTGGCACTCCTGCACCTTCTCGGCCTCTGTGCTCTTTGCGCAGGCGTCCTCGAAGCGGGGCATGAGCTCTTTGGTTAGCAGGTTTTCGGGCAGCTCTCGGAGGTACTGCTTCAGCAAGCTGGCCACTGTGTTGGGCTCGTATTCTTCCAGGTTGGGAGATTCCTCTCGGTCGTAGGCGGCCTTTAGCTCATCAACTTTTGACTTTATACCTTAAAAACACACAGATAAGGAGTTAAGAGACATCTTGCACTGTAAATAAGTAATAATTATACAATACGGSGAGAGTGGGGAGGGGAATATAAGATCAGCCATGTATCTACATTCAGCTTGAGGTTGTTCAATCATAGGGCCCAACCTCAGCCAGGAAATATTTTCTTATCAACACAAACATTGTGCCACAAGTTCCACGTATGGCAGCCCTGTGTTGCCAAAACCAAAGCAGACATTTTATTCTCCAGGTTTCCAGCTGGCTCTCCCCTGGAGAAGCTTCACCTAAGACTCTTCATTCGAGGTAAGACACTTGCCAAGTCACTTAACTGCAAGCTGATTCGATAGCTGGCTGACATCTCGCAGGGGTCAGTAATCAGAAAACGTTTCTTAAAGCTCGGCTGGCCACTCAAGCTGCACTCGCTCAGGGTGCTTGCCCGCTTGGCCAGGTGCGAGGAGCAGAACCGCCCGCAGCGCTGGAGCCCAGGAGAGCGAGCGGGATTCGGGGAGCTGCCCCGAGGAGGCTGCACAAGCCGCTCACCCAGCCCGGCGCTCGTCCCTTTGGGCCCTCGGCTTAGCAGTTCCGCGCACACCAGAGGGTGCTGTTGCCCTGCAGAATGCCCAGGGAGCCCCAACAGGAAAACCAAACAAACCCTCCCCAGGAATGCCTGCAGCCCCAATCCCTGCAGCCCCGCTCAGGATACRGGCAGCCCAGCCTCCTCCCGGGCACCACTGAGCAGCTCCCCTGTGTGCAAAGGGCAGCCAGGCCACTGGCGAGCGCGGCCGCAGCGGCCTCCGACACTGCCCAAGCCGCCCTGCGCACGGAAGGCCACTTGGTGACGTGTTCGGTGGTTCTCCCCAGCCTGCTGCTCTTCCCAGCTCTGGCTCCYTGAGCGGGCGCAGGGGCGCGCCGACCAACGTGCTTACAGATGGCGCTCCCAGCCCAAGAGCTGCTGGGCTCGACTTGACTAAGCCTGTGGCTTTGTAAGCGCACGGCTGTCTTATGCAAGCTGGTGTTACACAACTGCCACAGCTGATCATCCCGGGGCTGCTGGGCTCACACACTGAAGCTTGGGCTTTCTGCCCTCTATTTCATTTGCTCAACGACTGTTTTAAGAAGGGAACTGGGCAGTGGAAGGGGTTGGAAAAACAGCTTGGTGGGAAACTTCATAAATAAGTGGTTATTTCCCAGCTTTGCCTTGCCCATCACCCACCACCATGTGGCTACCACAGAAGATACAAGCGGCCACCCCCGCCCTTCACCCACAGCCACCCTCCTACCACAAAAGGCTGAAACAACAGACACATGTTAACAACAAAAAGTACCCCCATATTAGCAGCTTCTCTGCAACTGAGGACTCATGGATTTGCTTAACTGCAGCTACTTGCTTCCRTTGCCAGTAATTAACATTAACGCAGCTCTACGGGGCCGTATGCGTGCGAAACGACAAAGCAGGAGGAAAGTTGAAAGGAAGCAAAGGAGCGGCCGGCGCCTCGGCGAGCCGGGCGTACCTGACACTCTGTAGATGCCCTCGCACTTCATGCCGTACTTCTCGACGTAATCCACGCACTCGCGGAAGACGGCGGGCAGGCGGATGCCGTCGCACATCATGGTCCTGTCGGCCGCGTCGGGCAGCGGGACGCCGAACACGGGCCGGTGCCGCGGCACGTCCGCCGCGGGCGCCTCCGCCTCCTGCAGCGGCTTCTTCTTTTTCTTCTTCTCTTTCCACTGTTTCACCACGTCCGCGGCAGTCAAGTCTTTCGACTTCTTCTCTTTGTGTTTGTCTTCCTTGTGTTTTTCATCTTTGGGTTTCTCTTTGATTTTAAAATCCTTCTCCTTTTTCTTGGAAAAGCTGGGTTTCTTGAAGACGTGTATGCCCTTGGACCGCTTCAGCTTGGAAGGACTTTCAGCTTCATCCCCCGAGCTGTCCTCTTGAAAGGCAGCGTAGCCTTCCGCTGTTAGGCAGAGGAGGGACAGACGTGAGTTTATTTAGCTCATCTATAGTTTGAAATCAGGAGAAAAAAGCAGGAGAAAGAAAAGAAGCAACATGGATTAAACACAGAACCTGGCCAAGTCTCCAGAAGGTTCTTGTGCTACACACTTCAGTGGACAAGGATTAGTGCAAAGCTGCATATTCACATCAAAAATACACACCTCCTGAATGAGCTGAACATGTTAATACTTTATATACTTACTCATGATGACAATGTCCATCTCATGGGCTATTTTCCCATTTAATAGTCAAGGAAAGGGGAAATAAAAACAACTGTCTGGCAACTTCAATGCTCCTGTAATCAACAGTATAAGAATCGCTGTTAAAGATCATCTACTACAAGCACCACATCCCTAACACCACAGCAGTAAGAACAAACTATATTTCAGACCCTTAATTGCCCGATAGCTTTCCAAAACGATACAAATTCTTAGATAAACACGAAGTTAATAAAGTTTCACCCTCAAATAAAAATATCAGAAAGGAGAGAAGAGTCCAAGCRAACTTACTTTTCCATGAGGGGACAAGACAACTCCAGCAAGGGCAGCACCTGCCCACAAAGCCGTCTGTGTGTCCCAAAGAGCCCCAAGGAGGCCGGGGCTGCAGGAACCTTCAGCTGCAGAGCAGCAAGTGCTGCCTGCGACGCGCAGCGCTGCCTTTACCACCTACACCTCTGCGGGCAGCCCCGCCTGCGCCTCGGGCGCCAACAAGGCCACCTCGCAAGGTGGATTAGAGAARCGCAGGCAGTGCGAAGCCGGGCAGGAAGCTCCCCAGCTTGCAGGGCGAGCAGCGGCGGTTGTGCCCGCAGTGCTCCCCAAGGGAGCGAGCGCAGCCCCGCGCAGCGCAGGGCTCACGTCGGGCGCGCGCTGCCCAGGCCCCCGAGCCCGCAGCTAACGGCTTCCTGATGCCCTCGAGGTGCAGAGCCCCTCGTGCTCCTCCCTTGCTGGACACCAGGGCTGAGGGAAGCAGCGAGGGGTCRTTTCTTAGCCAAGTGTTCGGGGGGTAGAAAATGAGCTCGTGACTTAGGGAAAGCTTAAGGGAAAGCATCAAGGAGGAGGCGCTCGGCTGCAGTTCTTACAGGAGACAGAGCTTGGGTCAAAGCAACCAGGGCACGTTTGAAGCTGTCTCMTGGCTTTCCAGGTCTGGAATACACTAAGAGGTGGAGTGTTTCTAAGCTTTAGTTCAGCTAATATTGAAAATTTCAGCAAATATTGAAGCTTCCTTGTCAGCTTTGTCGAAGGTACCTTTTAACAGCTTGCATTTAATAGAAAAGTGGGAAAATGTGGAAGGTATCTTTAAACAGCTTGCATTTAATAGAAATGTGTGAAAATGTGAAATTGCATAAAATAATTACAGTCATTTGACTGGTTCACCTTTCCAATCCTGGATTCTTCCCTAAAATTGCCAGACATATGTACTTTTCAGGGAAAAATGGAGATTTCAGCATTCCTCCTGCCCAAATGAATCCTTAATATAAAAATGCAAATTTTAACTCAAGACCAAGCAGCAGTCAGGTCTCTGCTCTCCCAGTTTACTGGGATGCTGTTTTTATGACCTAAAATTGCAAATAGGTACAGAAACCTCCAGCCAAGTATAAATTAGGGATTCACACCTCATTCTGACATGGAAAAACACTGCCAATGCCCCATCTACAGGGCAAAAAAAGTGAATTTTACCCTTGTGCTTTGAGGGCCCAAGAGGAGTCTGGCACTGGGAGAGTTCACAGATGCAGTTCCTGAACCAAAAGCTTCAGCAGACAGAGCGCAGCCACCGTGTCCTCACCGCTTCCCCCGCGCASCTTTAACAGCTCCACATCTAACCCCTAAGCCTGACATCCATCTGGTGACCAGAGATTTCTTTTAGAGCAGGCTCAGGATTGTGCCCCGGCCCCCAAACTAACGGAGGGAACATGCCCTAACATGCTCTAACATGCCCCGAACACCCGCAGAAAGGCCCCAGCACAACAGCAACATGCCTGTCCAGGTTTCCTGCACAATTCCGAAGAGCCTGGGCCTGTGATGCTGCTCTCTTTTCTCACAAGGTAATTCACATTAGAGTTCCACTGATCCTCCATTTTCTGCACACGAATTAAATAAAGAAAATAAGTAAATGTTCCTAGCTGCACAATGAACCCATCCTGCCCATCAAGCTCAGAAACAAAGCAAGTAAAAAAAGCACAACGCAGACTCCTGGCCCAAAGCTGAGCTCCCACAGAAACACTGCTGWGTGGAAGCGCTTTCCTCTTTAAGCACTTTCCATAACCTTCATTTTCTATAAGAATCTGCCTGTTTCATGACTTTATCGACACGTAATTACCGACAGGAGGTGAAGCTTGTATCTATTTTTTTGAAATCCCTTGCTCTGGTTGTAGTCTCACATAAACCACTGCTGACTCCAAAAACCTGCCTCGCTCCCCCGGGGCTGTGTTGCAAACAGGGACATGAGTTTCAGAACCAAGGGAAGGATCCGAGTTAAAACTAKTTCAGGCAAGAAAGAGAGTAACCCAGACAAGACTCCTAGTCCAACTCACTCCGCACCCCAAAACTCGTGCTGTTGCTGAGGGAATAAAAATGAGGCCTCCTGAAACTGCTTCAGCAGCTGATACCACACGTGAAAACCAATCGTTTCATTTCATACTATTCCCACCAGATTTTTAGCRTGTTGTTTAAGTTTTCCCCGAATAACTGCTTTATGGTATTAGGTTACTACTATTAGCATGAAAAACATCAAATCCACATAAGAAAAGAGGATCCCTTGGCTAGCCTATAAAAAAAGGCTTCCTTACCATCCATAATGATGCYGATGCCAAGAGTACATTATTCACACAAATTAGATTTACCTAAAATACTGACCTGAGAAACTCTGGAGTATTTATGGTTCCCTCTCTGCACACCCTGCCTCCCAGCACCTTTGAAGTCCATATTTCAAGTATTACCAACTATCCAACAAAGACCTTTGCAGTGTTAAAGTTGCATTAAATTTTAGGGAAGTTCGGATGACATGGTTGTTAATTTGCTAACATTTTAAATTCAACAAACATTCTGTTATAATTTAACACAATCAGTTGATTTTTTCTCAGGAAACCTTCAAAATGATCTCCTTAAACCCCACATTACCCAACTGCAGCTGTTTGTGACCCCCTACGTGTGGCCACAGAGGCTGCTGGTGAAAAGAAACAACCTGAACACGTGGCACCATTTAAAAGATGGGATAAACTGAAGATAAACAGAAGTAAAGGAGGAATAACAAACGGCAAAGTGGGAAGGAGAGCTCTTAAAAGTTASCCATGTCAAGCAACTCTTGTTCATTTATATAGGTAAAATGTTTGCTTGGGATGTGTATTTACAGGACTGACCACGTTTAGATGGCACAGGAGGATACTGAAAGCTTCGGATSTAACTTACTCTTGTGGCAGTTATATGGCATACCTAATAGACGCCAGGAACACAGTTCTTACACTACAGCTGCAGGAAACAATTTGATTCCTCCTACAGTTTGCATTTTCTTCTTTTTGATGATTTTCTTCCTATCTTTAAAGCTTCTTCTAGGTAAATAAAATTGCTTTTTTTTAATCTTCCCTAAGATGTGTCACGATCTCATGAGGAAGCAAGCAGCCGCAGTGCTAATGTGCAGAGCAGCACACGTGCTTGCTGAAGAGGCATCTTCCTCTCAAGCTTCAGCTAGGCCACCCCTACAGCACACACAATTGCAGCACAAAGCAAGCCGTGCCATGGAAAATGCTGACCTCTAAGAGCACTAAATTTAGAGGCATCTTAGCCAAAGTTATAACAAAAAGCTGATTTGCAAAGAGGAGGGAAAAAGAGAAAAAAAGACAACTAATGGCAAGTATCCCTCCAATGAATCCAAAAATTCCATCCTCAGTCAAATCAATCTACTATTCTGTATTAATGGTATTTACAAGAGAAAAAAATGAGAATTGCATTTGCTTAAAACCATTAGTTTAAACTCACATAGGTCTTAACTGAAGGTTAAAGCATTTCTGAGTTATGGTAACCACTAGACAGTCTTTTAACAGGATTCCTTCTGCACTGGGGTAGAATCAACATAGTTCTTGGAGTCCAGGATTGATTAATTATAGTGCAGCAGCAGCAACAAATGTCTAAAGAGCAATTATTTAATTAAATATGTGCATGCATATTACAAATAGTCTCCATTTGATATTCTGGCTTGCTAGAATGCATTATCATATCTTCTTATTTTTGATCTTCCAAATTTCACACATAGAGGGTAGCAAGACATAACGGCATCCAGAACATCCAACCTTCAGATATGTAGGAACTATAGAACATTATTTTGAAATTTTATTAAAACAAACAGCAGAAGGAAGCAGCACAGCCATTCAGCCTGTGATGTTTAGGTCTCACAGACTTGAGACAGTTAGAAGCTTTCTGATAGCAAGAACACTTTGTATTGTCTCGTGTTCCTGAGAACTTTGTTTTTTCAGAAGATATAGGAAGACTATATTGAATAAAAACTATTTCATATCTTCATAGGCTAGAAATAAGATTTCTCTTTTGTGGTTTTGGATGAGGGTGGTTATATTTTGCTGAAATGAAAATGYAAATATTAGGCACTGATACGCTGACAAAAAATGGCTTCTATAGTCCAAGCTTTACTTGCCTCCTCATTTTACATTTAGCCTGTCATTCCTTGCAGTTTAGATATTGACAATGGCTTGCACATTTTTGGACTCTACACTGTTACTTACTGCTCTGCTGGAGGAAACTTGATGGTTATACTGACCCAAGAAAGTAAAGGGTGTGTGTGGGGGTGGGGGGAACCACACAGATTTTGCTTGTCCTCAAGCAACTAATGATGCAGGGTGCACATGAAAACTTGAGATGGCAGACAATAACATACTGTATGAGGGCAGGACTTAAAGGAAAAGCATTAACATTTATTACGAAAACTTTATAATGACAAAGTATAAAAATAAAGTCACACTTCCAGTTTTATTTTAGTTAGTTTCCCAGCTATAATAATCAGTCTTTATTTGGGAATACACTTGGATATCTCTATTGACACGAGCAGATAATGGGATGAGAACTCCATGCCAGGCAATTGCTCAAGACTATTTAAGACTTTGGATAAGCATATTTKTTTGTAAGTCTGGGCATGGGCTTGGCACCTGTACCTGAGAAACAAAAACCATTTTCTTATTTATGGTTTTTGGAAGAGGAACAGGTATTAGAACAAAGAGGAACAAAGAGGAACAGGAGGAACAAAGCCTGTTTGTGGCAAGCTTACTTCTTTCACACCTAACAGGTAAAAAGAGCATTGAAATTCAATGTGGGTTTAACAGCAGATGAGATAGCATTCAGGAAAATGTGAGTGCCAGAGAAATTGTAAGCATGAAATATGAGAAACTGCCAACTTACTTCTCTTTTCCTTTTTCTTAAATTTTCCTTTCTTCTTCCCGTGCTCCTTCTCATCATCAGACACGATATCTGGAGGCTCATGCAAGCTGTCATGCGGTGGCGAGGGTTCACCAGTGCGGTACAACCCCGGGAATTTGGTGGGGCTGATTTCTTCAGAGCTGGGCGTACGAGCAAGACCCCCACTGTGCTCTACCCGCCGGTGTTCGCTGGGGCTGCTCGTGGGAGGCAGGAAGCACTCAGTCATTCTGATTTCCTGGTAGCAGAGAGAAAACTGCTGCTACCTGTCCATCACACCTGCAGCAGGGGGAAAACAAATAAATAAGAACAATCAGAATTTAAACTATCGAGTGTTAGAGCACTTTGCCTAGAGCTCTAGCCCGAAAACAAAAGAGCAACTCATTCCACACTGAAGAGTCCCACTGACGTGGAATCTGCTTGTTACACCATGTACTAGGCTTAGTGTTTGCAGAATCTGTCCACTACCTCCAAAGCTAATCTTGCAATATGAACACATCAAGGGAACTGTCAATTTTAAACCCTCTATACTGTTTAAAACACTACATATTAAATATTAGAATGTTTCACATGTAAAATAACTCTTCTAAAATTAATTAATTTGTATACTGATTATTAATACTTTTTATAAAAACCAACTTTTTCTTAAAAACTAAGAGGTCAGAATCATASAATGGTTGAGGTTGGAAGGGACCTCCAGAGATCATCTACTCCAACCTTCCTGCTTCAGCAGGGACACCCAGAGCACGGGACACAGGGCGGGATCCGGGCGGGTTTGGAAGATCTCCAGAGAAGGAGACTCCACAACCTCCCTGGACAGCCTGTGCCAGGGCTCGGTCATGCTCACAGGAAAGAAGTTCCTCCTCATACAGAGACAGAACTTGTGTTTCAACTTGGACCGGTTGCCCCTTGTCCTCTCACTGGCTACAACTAAGAAAAGTTTGGTCCTTACATTCTCCCTGCAGGTATTTGTACATGTTGGTTAGATCCCCTCTCAACCTTCTCTTCTCCATGCTGAACAGGCCCAGCTCACTCAGTCTTTCTTCATAAGACAGATAGTCCAGTCCCTTAATCATCTTTGTTGCTCTCCGCTGGACCCTCTCTAGAAGATATATGTCCCTCTTGTGCTGGGAAGCCCACACCTGCACCCCATACTCCAGATGCAGCCTCACCAGAGCTGAGTAGAGGGGCAGGATCCCCTCCTTGACCTGCTGGCACCAGCAGGCAAACAAAACATTAACTTTTCCAAGTAAAATAGGCTATTCTCAAAGCTTGAAGTGAGCACTGCATTTAATGCAAAGCTCGTGTTCCCAGGCATATTTTACAGATGCAAATAAGGACTTGCCTAGCCTGTTGCAGTAAGAAAAGAAGAAACCTAAAGTGAAATTCATCTTCTCTTCATGGTAAGGCAAGCTGAAGAAGGTAGAAAATGAATGGTCAGGTTTTCTGCATACAACAAGCACAACTTAACATTTCAAAAGACTCTACTAGGCCAGTTGCAGCAAGATGCAGGTATGTTTTTCACAATGGAGCTATGGCCAAAAAAAAAAAAAAAAAAAAAAAANACCACCTCAGAGGAAACCAGTGTAAGAAAGCCAAAGAAAGCCAAATTATAACTTCCCAGCAACAGAGCTTCTCAGCTTTCCCAGCACAGATAAATGTCTGAATTTCTACCAGCACAGATTTGCCATAAGGGACTTCATAAGGGACCTATGGAAAAAAGCTTTGCTGAACTTGGCTTCCTCTGTCTACACAGTCACTCAGATGGGAGCCTTCTTTCAAAGGAAGGAACAGAGACAAAAATAGAGCAAACGACAGGAAAAGAAAAAGCCATCTTCACACCCACTGGCATACTTAGGTGACAGCTCGCCTTGGTTACGTGGTAAATTTAACCCAGCTCAGGCCCATGCTGCTGCAGCAAGGAACCTGAGCAAGTGGAAGGCAAACACAGGAGAAAATAACCTGTTTGCTCACTGGAAGCTGGCGCGGCTCTGTGACCTGTCCCACTCGGGAGGCACACGGCTCGGGACAGCCATGAGGAGCGCTGGTCAGGATGAGGGGCACCGCGTGGCAGACTTGATGTGACCAAGGGCAAAAACCACAGGAAACCTATTTCTGCAAGAACTGCTGTGGCAGAAATACATGCACATATAACAGCTCTGGCTTCCAAACTTCCCTATCGACTGTGTAGTCCTCAAGTCCTCGCTAAGCTAAATGCACTCAGCCAGTGCCTTGTGTGCTCAAGCAATGCATTTTTAATAAAAATGCCACATGGCTAAAGATTCAGGCTCAGGGAGATCAAAGGGGGTCAAAAGCTTCAATCGAGAGACACATTCAAGACTGCCAATGACACTACCTAGMAATGCCCTTGCATCTTATCTGAGCATCTGAATGGCCTCCAAAATTACTTCCCAACATCTATTTTCATTCAGTCCCTTCTACAGATCAAACATCACCCTCAAAATCTACCTAAAGCTGTAAAACTGTACAGGGTATTTGAACAGTAATTCATGGAATTAAAAATACTTCATATGAACATTTTCTAAGAACAGGATGGGCCACACCTGTAAGTCAGTCTATGGGTGAGCAAGACGAGTAAGGAAAAGAGAGGGAAAGGCCATGTCATTGTAAAGGCAAATAAACGTCACCCTGGAAAATGAGAAACTACATCCTTTGCCTCTTCCAGAGCCGCTGGGACGAGGCCAGGCAAATCCCTTACCACATTACACACTGTYCTGTAACTGGGCTTTACTCAGTTACTGAATTCCTGGGATATGATTTGCAGGATACTGAAAAACGTGACACGGATTTGTACTTTCCTAAGTCAATAATTTTAGATTTCTCCCACTTAAGAAGGCTGTTTTAATTTAAAATTATAACTACTGTTGTTCAACTTCAACCCCTCTGTTYCTGTAGGCTGAACACAGTGAAAAATTATTCACATGTATTTGAAACAGTCTCCCACTAGAGAAGATCAATCACAATGTGCTTATGGAAATTAAGTTACTCAAAATTTGAATAGTACACAGATAATCGTATACATGTAAGACAGCGAATGATGAGAAACAAAATACTCATTGTATATATTTTACTTGATTTCTATTCATTCCTTATTCTGACGAAAGTACATAAACTAAGAAAACAACAAAGATGATAATAGGACATATTTGTAAATGGAACAGATTAAGATAGCAGTTGCATTTCATAATTTGTTTATATTACAATTTTAATAAAGATTTTATCATTGTTTTTGGTATGTGTAATTACCTAGACTGTTGAAACAACATCAAGGCTCATCAGCAGAATTAGAGCCTTTGGGCCTACGATTAAAAAACYATCTCTCTACTGTTACTAGTGGATGGTACTACACTATTGCCCCACACATGTGTCCCTTTCCTTGGGCTTTTATCAACACTTGCTGTCAGCAAGGAATGGCAAGAATGACAAAGAGTGGATGCCCTCAACATTTTGAGAAGGAATGTTTCTACCTGGCAGGTTCTTCTGCCAAATTCCAGAGCTTTTCTCCATGTCAGTCTCTCAGACTGGACTCCTTCTTCCCAGCTCATTGCTGTTGCAATCCTGTGTCTCCTCCTTAGCAGGCTCTTTGCTTCAAACCTCTTCCCTTGACTGACAGAGACTGAAGCAGTCACATTTAAGCAATCGGTACTGCCCCATGGTGAAGGCCACAATATTCCCCCTCCTAACACTTGCACACAGAGCGCGCCCCCATCCTCGAGTCCAGAAAGTCTCTCTCAAACTTGCTTTGTGAGATGACTAAATTTGCTACTTGCACCAGCAGGTTTCTGCTGCTCTCTGTGTTTCAAAGTCTTTCCCTCCACTGCTAGGACTCTCAGCTTCTGCCTTGGCCTATTCTCCCTTTTTATCAGCAGTGTGTCACACACAAGACACCACATTCTTCAGCTGCACTGGTCTCTGTGACCAAATTCCTCGCTCTGTCTCCCTCTTCATAGAATCATAGAGTGGTTGGAAGGGACCTCTAGAGATCACCTAGTTCAACCCCCCACCACACACAGGGACACCCAGAGCACAGGGCACAGGGTGGCATCCAGGCGGGTTTGGAAGATCTCCAGAGAAGGAGACTCCACAGCCTCCCTGGGCAGCCTGTGCCAGGGCTCTGGCACCCTCACAGGAAAGAATTTTTTCCTTCTCATCCTTCTCTTCTTCAGGCTGAAMAGGCCCAGCTCTCTCAGCCTTTCCTCACAGGGCAGATGTTCCAGGCTCCTGATCAGTCCTACTTCCTCCTCACTGGATCCTGAACTCCACCAATTCATGATCACTGCAGCCAAGGCTACCCCCTTCCTCCACATCTCCCTCTCTATTTGTTAGTACGAGGTCCAGTAGCCCACGTAGCCCACCTCTCCTTGTTGGCTCCTCTATAGTCTGTGTCAAAAAGTTATCATCAACGCACTGCAGAAACCTCCAGGACTGTTTGTGCCTTGCTGTGTTGTCTTTCCAGCTGACATCAGGGTGGYTGAAGTCCCCCACGAGAACCAAGGGGAACCTGTGACCACAAGGCTACTTCCAGCTGCCTGTAGAAGGCCTCATCAACTTCCTCATCCTGGTCAGGTGGCCTGTAGCAAACACCCACCACAGTGTTTCCCACATTAGCCTGCTCTCTAACCCTTATCCACAAGCTCTCAACTCACTCATCATCCACTCCCAGGTTGAACTCCATACATTCTCTTTCACATAAAGAATAACTCCACCACTTTGCCTTCCCAGCCTGTYCTTCCTAAAAATCGCATAGCCTTCCATGACAGCACTCCAGTTGTGTGAATTWWCCCACCATGTCTCTGTAATTCCGATGAGATCGTGATGCTGGGACCACACACAGATCTCCCAGTTCCTCCTCCTCTTCCTACTCCTCATGTTGTTTATTCAGTTGGCTCCTACTTGGCTACTGCACCTTGCTTAGAATCATAGAATCCTTAAGGTTGGAAGGGACCTCTAGAGATCATCTAGCCCAAATCCCCCAGCACACGCAGGGTCATCTAGAGCATGTGGCACAGGGCTGCATCCAAACCTCTCTGGGCAGCCTGTTCCAGGGCTCTGCCACTCTCGCTGTTAAGAATTTTTTTTCTTAAGTTCCTGTGGAACTTTTGGTGCCCCATTTTGTGGCCGTTTCCTCTAGTTCTATCAGTGGCCACCACTGAAAAAAGGCCGGCCTCATCCTCCTCACTACCTCCCTTGAGGTATTTATACACACCGATTTCCCCCCTCAGCCTTCTCTTCTTCAGGCTGAACAGGCCCAGCTCCCT